TTTTGAAATTTTTTTTTCAATTTTCTTGAAAAAAAAAAAAAAATTTTTCTTGTAAAATGCGTGCGTCTGTCAAATAGCCATGATGATTCTGGAAATAAACAACGAAAAAAAAAATTTTTTTTTTTTTTTTGACAAGGCTAGAATTTTTATTCTTCTGCTCATACAATTTGTAATTGGAAAAAAGCTGTTAAATGAAAAATTCTAGATCGATAATCCAGTGTGTTGAATGTTGGATATAATTATTCTATTATGGATATATATCACATTTAAATCACATTCCCAATAGTCACAACGTTGTCGTTGTTGTTGTTGTTGAATACGTGAATAGTAAATTAATGATGAGTCAAATTCAAGTGATTCTTATTCTTCATTCTTCACTCATTCACTAACATAAAACTTTTTTTGTTTTATCATTCAATATATTCTGAATTTTAACTTTCACTGATAGAAATTATTAGTTTTTTTTCATCGAAAAACCTATTGAGACAAAAAATATTATGACCAAGTTCACTAAGATCAAGAAGATGATGTTGATGATGACAACAAATGATATCAATGAATACACTCAATGTGTGTGTTTTTGGGGTGAATTTAAATTGAAATTCCATACATGCCATTGTTTTTTTCTTTCATTCGATATTCCATTTTTTTTCTATCATTCATCTGTTCACATACAAACCCGGTATCATCATGTTCTATTATATATATATATACGTGGCTGAATAATTTGCATTATAATATACAGCCATTCTTTTCTCTATCAAAACTAAGACAAACATTTGGGAAACAAAACAAAATCAATGTGTGTGTGTGTGTGTGTGTGTGTTTTTGGGGTGAATTTAAATTGAAATTCCATACATGCCATTGTTTTTTTCTTTCATTCGATATTCCATTTTTTTTTCTATCATTCATCTGTTCACATACAAACCCGGTATCATCATGTTCTATTATATATATATATACGTGGCTGAATAATTTGCATTATAATATACAGCCATTCTTTTCTCTATCAAAACTAAGACAAACATTTGGGAAACAAAACAAAACAAAAAATGGGCATCCGTGAAAATGTAAATTTTATTGGCTTTTTGCTGTTGTGTCTATGTCATTACGCCAAGAGAGAGATAGAAGCTTTTACTTTTCTTTCTAGGCTATGTATCAGGTTTCGGCATTTGTTTTTTTTTTGTTTTTTTTTCATTAGTCTTGGAACATATATATTCACTGAATGTATTTATGCAACACTAAGCGCGTGTTGTTTATCTTTTTTTTTTGTTTTGATTCTTTTTTTTTATTGTTATTATTATCATTACCAACCTTTTTCGGATTTTTTTTCTGATAGAAAGAACTTTATTCTTCAATAAAATTAAGAATGAAATTGAAAAACAAACAAAACAAAACAAAAAGCAAAACAGAGAACAACAAAAAAAAATAATTTAAAAATCACTAGTTTCCATTGTATATATAATAAATTTCAATCTCATTTTGCATCATTGAAATGAATGGCAAAAAATATCATTAATGTTGATGAAAACAAAAACAAAACAAAACAAAAAAAAAATTCCAGCTATTAACAGACAGTTAAACTTTAAAGACATTATTATTTTTTTTCCCATAAATTAATTTGCCTCATAACTTTTTTTTTGGAACAAATAACCGACTAACAAATAATAAGACTGATGAAAAACTAAACACAACAAAAAAAAACCCAATCACGAACATGAATTTATTAATAGAAAATGATTATAAATATAGTGTTGATGATGATGATGATAATGATAATAAAAAACAATTTATCACACCAAAAAAAACTTATTTATGAATCAAACCATCATATAATAATATACGATATATGATCCGACATACAAGTGATACAGTGCAGTAGCAATTATTTAGTTTTTAACATTAACACAGAACCAATATGATGAGTAGATAAATATAGATATGATTATTATCAAATATTGAATGAGATCCAATATGGTAATAGAATATTCTGCCCAAATATTCGATTGAAACCAAGAAAATATTTTTTTTTTTTGAACATGGACATTTTCAAATGCCTAAAATGGACACAAGCGAGCCACAAAAAAAAGTTATTCATCAAGCATCTGGTGTTTCAAAAATCATTAAAATGAAAATAGAAAATCTGAATCTCATTCGAGTGTAAGTTTTCAGTGTTAGTCACTATAGTGTGTGTGTGTTTTTGTTTGCAAATATCTGTACGTGTGCATGAGTGTGTGACCATTTTTTTTTTTACTTTTGCTTTGTTTAAAACCAAAAAAAAAAATTTGATTTGGATTCGTGATTTGAATTCGTAATTCTGAATTATCATCACGATGATATGATGATAAAGTACTATTTTTGAAATCAAAATTTTCTTCATTCTGTTGTCACTGTTTATTTCAAATCATTTATTTCCTTTTTATCTCTTGTTTGAAAGTCATTGTTTATTTCCGATGGCAAATCTGTGTTTGATGTGATCATTGGATTTTTTTTTATTTCTTTAAAAATTTTCTTACGAAAACATAACCGAGTCCAGTTCAAATCTAGGATTAAAGAATTGAAGAAGAAAAAAAAAAATGTACCAATCTTGAATTGATAATCATTATTTTATGGGAATTTTGAATCAATTTTTTTCCTCTGGTTGTTTGTCATTTCATCATAGAAAATTAGATACATTTTAACCATATTTATACACAATTTCATTATTTTTTCTCATTTTCATTTTTTTTTTTTGAAAACCTTCTGGAAAACTTTTCATCAAAAATTAGTAGGAAAAAAAAGTCATTATATAAATGAAGAGTGAGCTGGGGAAAAAAATTGTACCACTATATATTGATAATAGACAATGTTTTAATCAAAATTGCCAAATAATAAGGTTGGCATTTTTATAATTTTTTTTTGTTCTTCGGTTCCACATATATGTCATGTGGTAGTGATTTAAATCCATTTATTACAAAGACATCATCAGTGTATAAGATTTAATAATAATAATAATCTAAATGTCTGTTTTCATTTTTCTGATCACAATGATGATTCAAACAGAATGAAAAAAATGAAAAGCTAACATTCATTGAAAAGTTTAGAAAATCGGATTTTTTCTCACTCTCTCTCTCTCTCATGGTTCATCTCCTGAAATGTAAAAAAAAACTTTGACATTTGTTTTCTTTTATCAGATTCAATGTATATGAATGAATGAATGAATGGAAAAAAAAATCCGTCGAAATGGTTTCAAATGAAATGAAAAGCTTCTATTTTTTTTTGTCAAGTTGTCGTCATTGGTTTAGGTCAAATCGATGAAATTATTAAAGCTAAAAGAAGAAAGTCAAAAAAACAATTCTTATCTAAAGATCTTCATTGGAACCATCATCATCATCATCAAATGTTTTAAAAGGGAAAAAAAAGAAAGAAATGTCAAAAAAAAGAAGAGTCAGAAAAAAAATTATTGAGCAACAAACACACATACACACATTAAATATTGAACAGGCAAATTATGATATACAGAAGAGAACAACATAAAACTAGAGAGAAAAAAAAACGATCGACAAAATGAAAATTTCATTTATACATTTTCATTTTCGTTCTCTTTCTGTTTTTCATTCTCACAAGTCAATAGTGACAGACACACAGACGAATGCAATTAAATTGATCTATGAAGAATCATAGAAATTAGCTTCATATAAACATGCAACACTGAAATTCATCATGGACCAAATTGCATTCAATTCAGAAATAATAATGTTCAACTAAATCAACATACAATTCATATATACTATGGACGAGGCAAGCATTTTTTTGTTGTTGTTGTTGCATAGAGAATCATTATCATATCCATTTATATATACTATACTATGATATAATGATGGGATAACAATTTTTATTTTCCGTTATTTTTTTTCTCATTTGCACTCAGTTTGTCTAATGGAAATTGAATTTTTTTTCATTTTTATTTTCGTGTTTTTTGGTTCAATTCACAACGACGAAAAAAAAAGAAACAGCCTGCAGAAAAAATAAACCAAAATAAAATGCCAACCAAAAAAAGGGGCAAAAAAATAAATTGATTTTTCAATTCTAGGTCAGGTGGTATATGTTGTTGTTGTTGTTGTTGCTGTGTGCGCGGCTGTTGTTTTATTGAATAGGGTTCCAATTGAAATTGTGATAATAAAATCTAGCAAATGGTACACACACACACAAAAAACAGAAATCATTTTGCAACCGAAATGGAGAAATCATTTTGCAATAAAAAAATTATCATTATCATTGTTATTATGATGATAATATAAATCTGAACATGAAGATTCATTTGTTTCAGATTTTCAATACATAAATAATGATAATGATCATTTTTTTCTGGCCTATAGCTATGAATTTAGGTAAAAAATAAGGTCTATCACTATTTTCAAAAGTAAAAGTAAATAAGGTAATTGTAATCAATTATATTGTATATAATAATTATAAATAATTAGAGTAATGTTATTTTCAGAATAATTAGTGAAATGAAAGAAAGAGAAAAAAAATTATCAACAAATTCAGGATATAATTGAATTAGAAAAAATAGATACCTGCAATCATGTATGTATATACTACCGGCATACATTGCAATAAACTTTGTAAATGTCCATAGAGAATAATTGCTTACGATTCCCTAAAGAGAATGAAAGACAGAGAAAATTCTGACTGAATTATTCTCAAAAGAAATTGTAGAGTAATAATGCATTGAGAATTTATGCCGAATATGGGGATGGATTATTATTATTGTTATCATACATACAAATATATAAAAATCTACAAACACACAGTCGAATTGTATATATATGGAATCCATCAATCATTTTTTATGTTTTGTTTTGTTTTGTTTCGTTTCGATTTTCATTATGAACAAATTCAGTAGCAAAAAAAAAATTTAAAAAAAACCATTTCATCTCATTAATTTGAATTGTGAATAATTTTCTCTTTCATTTTTTTTTCTCACCCGAATTCACCCAAATTTATTATAGCAATGTGACAACTAATCATTTCTGATGAGAGATTGATTGTTTTTGAAAATTTCAATTCTTTTTTTCACATTTGTTCGTCACGAAATTCTTGGTGCCAAAAGAAGCCAAAAAACAAAAGGAAGAAACAAAAAAAAGACAACAATTCTATAGTCAGTTTTTTCGAGTGTGTGCAAATTTCACCAGTATTCCGGATCATTAATATATAGCAAGAGTGAAAAACAATTAATTTAGATCCACCTCGTGGTAATACCCGTCAAAAGTAATCCAACAAAAAACCGTTTGAATGTTCATAACGAATCCATACGTAACGTATCCACAACGTTCATCGTTACATCGTTACCATTTTGGTCGTAGAGCGGCCATTGGCGAGAAACATGAACACATGTTTCTCCGTGCAATAGGCAAGGCCATGCAGTATTATCGTATCTGGATATATTCCTGTAATGCAGCATTATTTATTGGAACATTCATATATTTAGTTGCCTTTATTACGGTTATTACTGATTCACGTTTAAGCCTTTTTCCAAATATTCGCCTTTATCATCCATCATTCATTTATGCCTATTTAGCCATTATTATACAAGGAGGAATTGTACAGGTAAATTGTAATTGTAACCACTTGTAACTTTAATCAAATCAATCTAATATACTAATCGATTTTTTTTATTATAAAACAGGCAATCGGCTGTCTTGGTGCACTTAAGCTCAATGAAAGTTATTTACATTTATATCTAGTAACAATGTCCGTATTAGTATTTGGTGATGCTATCGTTGGTGTTGTATGGGCTTTACGATATAAAAATATGACAATGAATCTTAAAAGTGACCTCAAAAATCAAATTTTTAATGAATATGATACCAATACAGAATTACGGGTAAGTCACAATATTTTCCATCAAATGATATGATTGAATGATTGAATTCATATTTATATTGTTGCATAATCATTCGTATAATTTCTCATTAATACAACAGAATGTTTGGGATGATATTCAAGCCAATTGGAATTGTTGTGGTGTTGATGGTCCAACCGATTATAATGTATCTACATGGGCTTCACATTTTCTTCCATTACCAGAATCACAACATTTAGTATTACCATTAAGTTGTTGTCATCCGGAAGAGCCTACATTTGGTCCACCACATAATGAATGTATTACGAAAATGAATGAACATGTATTTAGTAATGGATGTTATGATCACATCTATCTTTGGTTACAGAATTCAACTGATCTATTATTAGTACTTGGTTTTTGTGTGATTACATTTGTCAAGTTGTGCTTCCTATTTTTATTACGCTCAGAAATAAAAGAAATGATTGAAAAAATCAAAGTGATCAAAGGTGAATCCGGCAGTGATACTCCAATGTTACCCTTTCAAGATATTGAAGCCTATTTACCAAGACCATCAATGCAACAACAACAAGATCAAACAGGAACGGCAATAGGCACAACAACAATGTTGCTCAATCCATCATCAACAACAATGACAGCTGCAACTAGTCAACATCCAATGATTTTTCGTGGTAATTCTATACAGGAAAGATGCCATTGTCGTCTTAGTGCAGCAAGTGGTTATATAAATCCAACAGCAACAGCAACAACCAATCTAATCAATACATTAACTGGTTCACGTACAATATTAAGCTATTCGGCAGCTAATCTTGCTGCATGTCAATCGTTTTCAAAAAAACATAGTATTGTATGATTGATCGATAATTATCAAAAAAAAAAAAAAAAAAAAAATTGCAGCTATTATTTATAATCAACGACAACAATAATTATATATACAAAATGACAAAAGTGTTAAAATTAAGAGAATAATAAATGAATATACTGGCAATCTTATGTGAGAAAAGATTGAAAAAAAATACTTAATCAACCGGAAAATCGAAAAACCAATCAACAAGGAATGTATATTTTTGCTTTGCCCATGTATGACATAATATATTCAACAACAACAACAACAACAACAACGGCAACAACAACAACATCAAATTAATTCATCATTGTGTTTATTCAAGAATGTTTGTGTGCATGTGAATGTGGATGTTGTTGGCCCAAATTAAGTGATATGACAACAACAACAACAACAACAAAACACTTATACAACAGACACAAATATACAAAAATAGATTCAGATATCAAAGTGATTCAAGTGCTTCTTCTGTTTCAGATAAAAAAAATCTTATATATTGTATATATATTAACAAACAAAATTTTGATTTCCAACTTTTTTTTTCTTTCTTTTTTTTTTGTTTTCCATAGACATTTTCAGTGTGGGCGTGTTTATATGCATGAATATTCTTGTTCTTCTTTGTCATCATCATTCCTTTTATTTTTATTTTTTTTTTTTCATTAGCCAAACTATAAACCATCGATTCTTATATTATTTATATATTGAGAATAAAATCAGGAATAAAACATAAACAACAACAACAACAACAACAACAACAACAAAAAAAACCAAATGAAACATCATTCCGAATGTGTCATCAACTATATATAAATTCATTATTTATTTATTTAAAAAAAAAATTTTCGTGATGTTTAAAAGTGAAAAGTTATCTGATGTTTTGATAATAAGAAAATTTGGCGTTTTTTTCTTCTTGTTATTCCACTTCTTCTTAACAGATGTGATATATATAACACTTGTGTATATGACCAAAAAAAAAAACATTCCTTCACTTTATTTATTCTGTATTTTTTTTTCTTCTTTCATCACCATCATTTTAAATTTATCGTCTAAAAAAAATAATTTTTTCTCTCTTCATTCACAATTTTTATGGTCACTGTGTTTTTTTTTCCCACCAATTATCGCATTTTGTTTGCATTCCAAATTCCAAAAAAAACAAAATTCTTGTTCGTTACTTTTTTTTGTTTCGTTTTTTCTTTTGGATTATCAAACATCACAAACATGATGGCTGCCGGAATATTGGGATGATGAACAATTCAGTTTTCTGCAAAATTTATTCACCATTTTGAAATTGAAAATGAAATTTAAAAAAATCAATCCTAATGTTAATATATAAATCATGTGTCAATATATATATATATTTTTCAATTTTTTTTCCCCAAAAAATGATATATTTATTATTAAAATATATATATATTTTGAACGTAAAAAAATTACATTGATCCACAAATTTTATTTGGTTAATTTTTTATTAGATAATAATTCAGTTCTTTGGCAATCATATTGGAACCAAATTCTTGTTAGATATCGAAAAACAAGATAAATCAGGTAACAAACAAATATGATAAAACATTGAACATTTATGTTAACTTTAATCTAATTTAAACGAATATATATGAAACGACGATATGTTGAGTTCTTGTTTGAAATTAATCACATACACACACACACACACAAAATTTTGCTATAGCACAATCCGAAACACAAGGGGAAGAAAACAATGGTGTTTCCACCATGAAAACAATTGATTTTAGCCAAAAAAAAAAATGTTCGTCGTTGTTGTTCATTCATTAATAATAATATTTTTTATTTGTGTTGTCATCCTATAACGATGACAAGATACGGTATTTTTTTTTGTGTGTGTGCAGAAAAAAAAATACAAGTTGGGCTTTATTCTTGCAATTATAAAGACATTAACGAGGTTATTGTCTCTTGTTAGTTTTTCAAAATATAATCAGCTGAAAAATAAATTCTTGTCTTGTTGTTGTTGTTGTTGTTTTGTTGGTGCTACTGCTGCTACTACGGTAACGTATTGTCTTTTTAATCCAAATCGAATGAAATCATCAACGATCGGAGGAAACAAAAAAAAATTCAATCATAATTACAATGAAACAATCATTAAAATGAAAATCAAATTCTCTATCCTACATTCATCATTAAATGGAAAAACGTTGTTAAAAAAAATACACAAGAGACCCATATAAGCCAGCCAGCCAGCCAAAATGAATGTCAGCTTCACCTCATTGCATTTTACATTTTTGTTTTTTTCCTACTTTAATGTTAACTCCCTCCTCTTATCCAATATCCGGTTACCATAGGATTCACAATTATGATGATAATGATAAAATTAGCAATCTCAACTTCAAATAATTCCAATTTTTCAGCTTGATTTCATGAAAAATTTTCTCTACCATAACTTTACGCTAATGAAAACAAAAACCATCGTATGCAACTGACGACCAATTTTTTTTTATTAAAATTAAAAAAAAAATCCAAACTGAAACTGTGAATGTGACTGGAAATTTCTATTTTGCATAAAACAACAACAACATCAACAACAACAACAACGACAATCACTGATGAAGAAAAAAAAATGAAATTCCAACCCACAAACAAACACCAACATTCCACCCAACACTAAAAACCAAAAAACCAAAAAAAAAAAAAAAAAAAAAACAAAACCAGGAAAAAAAATGAAACCAGCCCTCACAGAATCAAAACTGCATCATCAATTCAATTCTTGTAGAATGTATACACACACACACACATACCAAATATTAGCAACTAGATTAAAACGAAAAACCATGCCATAACCAAGTAAAAAGAAAAAAAAATTCATAAAAAAAACCAAAAGAGCAAACAACAACAAACTGATGTGTGCAAAAAAAAAACAACAACAACATGCATGAACAGACACACGCGCACAAAAAGATTTTGAATTTGTGTATATACATAGGAATAGTTACATATGAATATATGGTTTAGTAATAGAGCAAAACTAGACAAGCATTACCGGCTATTACTTATCCGTTATAAGTCGGTTAAACAATGTTTTTCTGTAAAGGAAATCATATTCCAACTCAATGATGGAGAAAAGATTAGCATTTTATGGCTCATATGATAAATGAATGTAGGAATACTTTTACTTGTAGAACTTGTAATGGTAGGCTCATCCATTTGTTATACTAGGGATAATAATACCAACCCAATTACTAAATTGGTTTCTTGATCCTGGTGCAACACACAAATTACTCCTGAACATAATCATTACATAAAATGGGAAAGGCTCTTAAGAACTAATATACAAAGCATCACTGGGGTTAGATCTCATTGATCGATAGAAAATTTAAAATAAATCAATTATTGGAAAATAGAGTAGTTCAAACAATTCCAAAAAATAGAATTACATTTTATCTCAAATTGCCATTAAAAAGGTCATCATCATCATCATCATGAAGTACCAATCAATTTAAGACCCTACCGTATATCTCCGGTAGATCAGAAAAAGGTTGATGATCAAATCAAGGTTTTACTTGAGAAAGAATTGATCAGACCATCTACTTCGAATTATTCTTTTCCGGTGGTTTTAGTCGATAAAAAGGATGATGGTAAGAAAACACGTCTTTGTGTTGATTTTAGGAAGTTGAATGATATAACAATAACTGAATGTTATCCAATGCCATTAATACAAGACATAGAGGATAGAATGTTAAATTCCTCAGTCTTTTCTACCTTTGATATTGCTTCCGGTTTTCATCACATTCCAATAGAGGAAAGTGATAAACATAAAACTGCATTCTCTACTATGACGGAACACTTTGAGTGGAATGTCATGCCTTTTGGATTAAAGAATGCACCAGCAATTTTTCAAAGAATAGTGTATAATATCCTGAAACATAATAAGTTGACGGATTTTGCTCATAATTATATAGATGATATAATTGTGTTTTCCAGAGATTTCAATGAGCACGTTGAACATCTGGGAAAGTTATTTTTGGTATTGAAAAACAATAATATCATTTTGAAGCTTTCAAAATGTAAATTTGGTTTACCAGAAGTTTGTTATTTAGGACATCAAATATCGTTCAATACAATAAGACCTCTTAAAAGTAATAAACAAGCAATTGTCGATTTTCCTCCACCTAAAGATCTTAAATCTCTTAGAAGGTTTCTTGGTAAAATTGGTTTTTATCAACGATTCATTCCAAATAAAACGGAATTATTAACACCATTATATGAATTATTGAAGAAAGATCAGGCCTTCAATTGGACAGCGTTAGCTGAAACAGCATTTAATAAAGTAATTGAAGTTCTATCATCTGATCTTGTATTGCACATCTTTGATCCATCAAAAGCTGTAATTCTTATTACAGATGCTTCTAATGTTGGTATTGGAGCTGTCCTTAAACAAAAAGATACTGAATTAGATGATGATCAAGATATGGTTACTGTGGGATATTTTTCACGGAAATTACTACCTTACCAAGTTAACTATTCTGCCACAGAAAAAGAATGCTTAGCAATTGTTGAGTCGATTGCTTACTGGCATCATTATCTGTATGGAAAAGAGTTCTTAATTCGAACTGATCATAAACCATTGAAGTACATCAATTCAATTTCAAAACCCAACACTAGAATCTTAAATTGGGCATTAAGGTTAAGCCAGTACAATTTTAAGATTGAATATGTTCCTGGTAGTGAAAATGTTGAAGCTGATTTTCTTTCTAGAAATCCTAATTTTGAAGTAAATCTGCTTACACTTCAAGAGATTTCTGATATTCATGCCAATATTCCGGTTATCCCTCCAGGGTGTGTATTATTTAACGGTTGTTATGTTAAATATACGGGTAGTAGAAGACGATATTATCTTCCTGATAATATAGCGATTGAAATTGTTAAGAGGTATCATGAGGAACAAGGACATATTGGTCAAAAACAAACAGCTCTTCATTTTTCACAAAAATATTATAATTCTAATCAGAACAGGTTTATTCAAAATTGTATTAGACAGTGTGAGATTTGTTTACAAGCAAAGAAGCCTAGGAAAAAGATGGGGTTACTTCACCATCTTGGCCCGGCAGATGAACCATTTAGATTCATTCATATTGATACTATTGGAGGTTTTAGAGAATCATTTTCTCAATTAAGATATTTTCATGTGGCAATTGATTCATTTTCTAGATACGTTTGGGGAATCACTTCTAAAACCCAAAACGTGAGTGATTTTCAACAACTATATAATAAAATCTCTCAAGATGGACATCCACAACATATTGTTTGTGATAGGTATCCTGCATTGAATTCCTCAAGTTTTAGAGAATTCTTATTGCTAAATAATACTCAAATAATTTATATTCCAGTTACACATCCTTCTAGTAACGGAATGATTGAAAGATTTGTTCAAACTGTGGTTGAAAGATTGAGGTGTAAAAAGTTATCTATGCCAAACCGATCTTGGGCAAGACTTGCTATGGAAACTTTGGTTGAATATAATTCAACAATACATACTGTTACTCGGTATGCTCCAAGTTTTCTAATGAGTGGTGAAGATCCTGATGAATATTATCTTGGGGAGGATCTGATTGAAGCAAGAATGATGGCATATGAACGATCATGTCAAGATCATAATCGTAATAAAAGATATTATGATCGAAGAAGAGTTGATAAACAGTTTGAACCAGGAGATTGGGTATTTGCTAAAATTGCAGATGAATTAAATAGAAGAAAGTTAGATCCTAGATATGAAGGTCCATTTGAAATCATTACAAGATATTCTTCTGTAGTATATGGAATATCAGTTGATAATCATGAAGCTATTGTTCACATAGAAAATCTTAAACCGGCAAATGCACAAGTGTTAGATACTGAAGAATCAGATGTAGAAGAAGAAGACCTACAGTTAGAGCAAACAGAGATGGAAGAGAATTTTAATGAAAGAAATTCTGTATCAGCTTTAATTCCTGTAATTCCACTTAGATCTTCAGCATCTACTTTGAATTCTAACCAGATTCTATCTCGACGTTCCCAACGACAACGTCGTCCACGAATCAGCTATTCGCCATCATAAACACCTACCATTGTATGAATCAATCTTCGTCCCAGTATAATTAATATAATACTGAACAATAACATCATAAACAGTTAAAGTGAACACCAACTAAAATTTTATCAATATTTCATCCGTTGTGAACATTGTAATCGAACTATGTATAAAAAACTCCATCAAATATTTTGCTGTATTAATTTAATCAGCATTATATTTTTCCCCATCCTCTCAGAATCGCAGATTAATTCGCCAGTGTTTCCGTTAATTTGGAGAAGATCAAAACATCGTGTTGCTACCGACTATGTTAATGCACAAATTGACATTCATCTCAAACCACCATGTGAGGTGATCAAATCGTCGTTTTTAAATCCAACTAATATCTCAAATGGTTTTAACTATAAATTTGAAAAGGAAACGTGTGAGAAGTTATACAACAAGCTTGTAAAAGAAACGATGCATAAAAAGTGTGGTCCTTTTCAAAGTTCATCTAAACCTCGACGTGATATTGTGTCATTTGTGTCTGGTGTAGTGTTTACATCAATCATCGTCATAGCATCAGTGATGTTTGGTTCTTATGTCAAAAGCCAGATTGGGATCTCTGATCATTCATTGACAGAGATAGAAATTTCAAAATTAGACCAACAGATTCATGAAAAAGTGGTTCATGAATTGATTAATATGCAACATCAAATTGATCAAATTAAACATGTTTCTGAAAATCGTTTCTTAACATCTATACTTAGTGCCAGATTTCTTCAGGCTGAACAAATTATCAACGAAGCATTTGTTGCTGATTCATCGTTGCCAATATCATTTCAACAATTGTTCCCTAATATTTCAATTTGTGAACATTGTCCATCTGATTTGTGGCATTTCGAGAAATGTTATTTTAGATCTATGGAATCACCATTGGATAGCCGCTTACAGCTGAATGTAAATACGGTGAAGATAGATCCAAAATATGATATTATTCGGGCTGATCATTTACGTTCGATCCAATTAATGATTACCAGTCACCATTAATCTTCCATTCGATTGACTGCATATTAATTATGTAAAGGCTACATGGAAACCTTACCGTTGTATGAAGAAGGATCTCATTACTCCAGAGGAGATAGTGCAGATTAAAAGTGATGATAGTTTTGTGTATTTCATTGTTATATGCAAAACATAACGGTTCATCAAGTTTATCGTATGAAGCGTGGTCAAAATTTAACGATTAATGGTCAAACGGTAACATTTCCAACAATTAGAATCAATTCTTGGCATATGTATTCGAATTTATTTTATATTGTTACTATTGTTATTGTAATAATAACAATATTTTTGTTTATTATATGTTGTATTCAACACTTTACGCATCAAAATTATCGACGTGTCGCAATGGAACATTACCAACTTGCAACACGAAGATAATAATTTATTATTGATGTAATTATTTAATTTGTTTTTGTTTAATGTATTTGTTATTTGTTTTTTTTTTTTTTTTGTAAAAGCGATTACGGTATCTTTGAACAGTCAGTCGGGTTTTATACTATTTCAGTTAGGGAACCGATGTTTTTAATGATACTCGAGATGTGTATATACATTATATGAATATATGCAATGTACCGTTATAAGTCGGATTTGATGGTGCATTTTTCTTTCTCTCCAAAATTCTTGTCCTCCACACACACATTACATAAAAAACTCATATACAAATCACTGGCTTGTAGAAAATTTTGCAAACAAAAAAAAAATTTGCATAAAAAAAGGTCATCATCATCATCATCATGACATCATTATTATTATGATAAACACATATGCAAAAAAAAGAAGACTCTTCATCAAAAAATAAAAAAAAAATCACTTGATTTATTAAAATTATATAAACTTATGTGTTGATAATCTTATGAGATAATGATCGTTATTATCATATAATGCATATATAAATGTAAATGTACCACAATGATAAACAATAAAGAATAAGACATTGAAAATAATTTTCTAAAGTTTGATGTAATCATTGTTGTTGTTGTTGTATAAAACACAAAGATGATGATGATGATGGTGAAAGATAGCCGGATGTTTCACAAGAAAAAAAACGCCATAACACACACACAACAATGAAAAAAAAAAAAAAATTCAACACAAAAAATCATTTTACTAATCATCATCATCATCATCATCATAATCAAGATCTTGATGATAATGATACGAATGGTAAAATGCGATTCCTTGCAACAACCAAAAAAAAAAATTTCAACATATGCGATATGAAAATAATCAAAAAAAAAAAAAAAAAAAAAAAACAGAAAGCCAGAAAAAAAATCATAAAAAACATATGGAAGAGAAAAAAAGAATGACATACTCCGAATGATAACCATTGCTACACACCATGGTAACAAACATTATCAAAAAACCCGCAAGGGAGAGAAAGAGAGAGAGAGAGATGCAGAAAAAAAAGCAATTTCAACATGTGATTATTATATTGTTATTTTGAAACGAGCAAAACAGAACAAACAAATAAAAAAAAAAAAGTGAAAAAAAACTTTATAATTTAGCTAAGACCAGACACATTCACATAAAACATACATTTACTAGGTGCCCGAAAAAAATAATGATAATGATAATGATGATGGTAATAAGTATAATATGCAAACATGATGACAATAACTCGAGAATAGAATGTTACTGAATTTTTTTTGTTCATTCATCTTTAAGATGATGAATACAACAATATTCGGGTGTATGTGTGCATAAAATAAGCTAGGATTACTTTGTATTTCAAAAAAAGGAAACACAATTCAATGTATAAAATTATAAACAAGACAAATAAAAAAATGATTAAACAACAAAACCTACCTGAATATTTGTTGAATTTACTTTCGTTACTATATCATAGACAGAAGCACCGATAACTATCTACAACACATATAAAATGTATGATGATTGAATCAAGATTGAAACAAAAAACTTACCGGTGTTCTTTTTGAAATAAAGTTACTAATTTTACAATCATTGTTGTTGTTACAATCGTCATTGACATTCAAAGATGAAGATCGTTGTTGCCAGCCCATCAGTTGACTATATTCGATGGCAATGGCTGCACCAACATGAGCATTATTTTCAATTAGATTTTGATTCAATCGTAACGTTTGTTCATTGGTCATTTGTGACATTTTTGATAAAAGAAATGGTGTTACCATTTTTCCTTTGATTTTTTCATTTCTATATTTAAGATATTGGTCATATAATAATAATTCAATTCAAATTTATTGATTTTACAACAAATAAACAGGGTTATTCATACCGTGCCTGTTCCAATGCAAGTTCCAATGCTTCATTGAATTTTCGTTGATATTCTTCGGCTTTGGCCGTACGATTAGGTACGGCTAATAGTATGGCCATTTTAAGGCCAAGTTCATCACGCGTATCGATTAATTGTGCAATCGATTTAGCTGTCAAAAAATTATAGTTAACATAGTAGCCACTATTTGGAGTATAAAATGCGGGAAATTCTACACGATTACTGCCATCGATTTGATCACCATCAAAAACGGCTACACATACTCCATTTGTTTCGAGTACTTCAAGCGTTTTTTCTACATCCAATATTGATTTTATACCAGCCGATACAACACAAATTGGTGTAGTTGATAATTCCATTAGATCTGTGCTGATATCCATGGAAATTTCTGCACCACGATGTACACCACCAATACCACCGGTGACAAATACACGTATACCGACCATATTGGCAAGATATGCTGTAGCCGATACTGTTGTTCCACCACTATTACCCATTTGACAAATGGCTGATAGATCGCCTCGAGAAATTTTATTCAATCGATCAGCAGTATGTGATTTTGGACCCTCATATCCTGTGATAAGACAGAATTAGAAGAATGAGAAGTTTAGAAAAAAATAATAATATTTTCAATTTAATAGACATTTGCGTGTGTGTGCGTGTGAATGCTCAATACAGGACATTTACAGAGTAAACAGGCAGCATACGATTTATCATGGTCGTCAATCACATAAATGTTGTTGTTTCACTGATTACCATTGACCAAAACAATAGTCACGAAATCGATTTTATTTTTTTTTTTTTTGCCAAACAAAAAACAAATTGGGATTTTTTTTTTGTTGATTTTTGATTTATAACTCTGTTACAATATAAAATTCTTTGGATTCTCATTTTTTTGTTGTTATAAACGAAAGAAATTTTCAATTCTTCTCTCGTTTATTTCATATGTTCAGGGAGGGGGGAGGTTGAAAAAGAATGATCAAGAATAGAATCGTTATATCCATGTCTAGAAACAAATTTATGATTACGATCATCATGATGATGATGATGATGATGATCCAAGATTACAAAAATGTCCGAAAAACTAAATATAATCATAAATGACATTTTATGAGGGAATGAACTAAAGAGAGAAAAGAAATTCCTGACAAACTAAAAAAAGGGAACTATAAAAAAAACGGAATAAATATAGAAAGATATCATTCTTATTCATCTATATATGTTGGTTTGTTTAAATGTTTCTGTGTGTGTGTGTTTGTGTGTATATACGATTCATTGAGCTATGACTTTCTTATTCATTCTATTTCAGTGGATTTTTCAATAGAATCGAAAAAAAATTGATATAATCAATATTATTCAGCATCAATACTAGCATAAATACATTTTGCCAACACAATCAATAAATACGATCACAAACACAAACATGCACTCACTCACACACACACACACACACACAATAAGAACAAAAAAAAATACAGAACAGATGATCGTTTTGACATTTGTTAGTATAGTACAAAAAAATATTGAATTCAAAATTCATGGCCAAAACGACAACAATGAAGAATGAAAAAAAAATGCCGTTTACCAAGCATAAAGATCATATCATATTACCATCATTTTGGAAACATGTACCATGATGATGATGATGTTGGAGATGGAGATATGAAATTTTATATGTGTATATTATTATCAAATACAAGGAGTATAAAATACCGAAATTCACATTTTTAGTTTTGAAGCAAGCAATTGATTCAGCATCAGTCAATCATATTATTGATGGCCAGCCGGCCAACCAGCCGGCCGGCCGGTTTGTCGATCGTAAAGTTATGAAAATTAATATTTTATAGATGAAAAGCCGTAAAAAAAATTATTAGAATGAAATGCATCCATCCATCCATCCATCCATATATGAATCCTTCGAACAGTATATATGGAGTAGTGTTTCAATATTGGAACAACACAACAGGAAAAATGCCCAATGCAAATGTGTCAATCATAATTTTTGTCAAATGTTTTGGACTATTTTTTTTCTGTAATGGTAATCACTTTTCTACTTGGAATTTCATTTTTCAATGAACAACGATACAAGTACATGTTTGAGATGAATTTAATTTTGAATCCCAAAACAACCACCATACATTTTATGTTTTTTATATTTGTCATTGGAATTATTATCAAACCCAGCCATCATAAAAAATTGTTGTTGTCATATAATCATCATCATAATTATATAGAGATTTTTGTTTGGATTATCATCATCAACATCATCATCATCATCATCATCATCATATTCAATGATCCAGAAAGTAGAGAAAAAAAATTTGCTGATATGGCTCAAAAAGAAAAATATTTCATGCGAAAAACTATCATCATCATCATCATCATCATAAACGATTTGAATCTGAATACAAATCAGATCAAATGATATAAAAAAACGAAAACAAAAGAGAAAAAGAACCAAAAACAAGACAAACAAAAAAAATCATTTCATTTGTCTTTGTTGAATAAACATCTAGAATGAAAAAAAAAATCAAAATTACTTGAATTAAATCAATCGGAATTTCATAAAGGCAAGATATAATGATGATGAAGGCAAAGAAAAACAATCGATTTTTAATGTTTAAGATGAATCCATCTTTTTCTTTAAGTTGTTGCACTGTTTTTTTTTTAATGCCAATCAAAATGGTTGGATTTTTCCCATGTTTTTTCTTCAATTCGGTTGTAATAAACTTTGGATAGCATAGATACTATTTAAGGGTAACTTAATAACATTTAAAAAATCAAAATTATATGGATGAAAAAGCAATTACATGATTTTCGGTGTACAGTACCGTAGTCGATGATGATCATGATGATGATCATCATCATAGAAAATTTTCAATTTTTTCTCTTTTACCAAACACACATAAATGTAAACACATTGATAATCGATGGACGTAATGTAACACATTATAGAGAGAAAACCAATTTTTCATATCTCAACCAAAGCGAAAAAACTTCAAACAAGTTCATCATCATCATCATCATTTTTTTCGCCAGAATAGAATGACGACTAAAACCTTAATTCCTCTCAACATCATCATCATCATCAACATTTTTCCAACAACCAAAAAGAAAAAATCCATAGAATGAGTTAAGTTGTTTGAGTCATTGATTTTTTTTTCTTTTGATTAATATCATTGAAAATGGATGGAATAGAAAAAAAAATCGCAAAAAAAACAAACACACTATGAAAACCATCATCATCATCATCATCATGATCATCAAATGAACAAAATGCCACAGCTTTGTGGCAAATATCTGAAATCCGGAAAAAAGTGCACAGAAAAAAAATTACACACACACAAGCTGACTCAAAAATATAAATGAGAGAAGGATAAAAAAAATGGAACATTCCAGCTATAACTAGAGATTGATTATCGATCCTTAATATTTGTTGTGTGATCATCATTATTGGTGATGGTGCCATAACAAAAACAACAACAACAACAACCAATAATCTATCCATTTAACGGTTAAAATGACAGCTCTATCCGCATACACACACACACACAAACAAAAAAAAGTTTTTTATATCAACATTCAGGAGGAATGGCTGTCATAAACTAATATCATACCATAACTTGTCAATTAGTTCTAAGCAAACAAATATAAAAATGAAAAATGTTGAACAAAAAAAAAATAAAATAAAAAATGAATTCAGTTTGTTTGTTTGTTTGTCTGCTGGTTCGTATTGAATTACCAACAAAAAAAAACTTGAAAAACAAAATCTTAGGTGCACACCAATAAACCAACCATAATAATAATATTAATGATAAAAGTCTATTGTATATAATATAACCTGAACATTTTATAACAAATTTTCTATTATTTTCCTGTATATATATAATGAAACATTATGACTGATGGATGATTATTGAGTGTCTCCTATCATCATTAAAAACTGAACTGAATCAAAAAAAAAAAAAAACATTGGTAACAAACAAAAGTAACAAAAAAAGTCAATAGAAAAAAAAATCAGGCTAATGTTTTCAACAATAAAAAAAAAAAAAAAAAATGAATCGATCGATATCATCGATTAGTTGTGATCGAATCAATCATTTTTCAGTTTGAAAAAGGAATTTGCTGATTCATTGTTTTATTATTATCATCATTATTGTTATTTGTAATATATCGGAGGGTTTTTTTTATTTTTTTTTTCGACAAATTTATTTAAAACATTATACGTTTTTCTATAGCTTTAATATTATGTAACTGATTGTGTGTGTGTGTGTGTGTGTGTGTGTATGTTTATTATATGTACAATAGAATTTTGAAATCAGGCCCAACTTTTTTTTGGGTATATAGAATTCATCAACAACAAGCTCAGGGACTAAAATGCGACAATGTTTGTGTGTGTGTGTATGACTGAATTTCAATTTAACAAAACAAAAAAAAAAAAGAAAAGAAAAATTCATTGGAATTCATGTCTTTGTTAAACTATTATTATTATTATTTGTACACGACAAATAACAACAAAAAAGAAACTGTGTTGAAATGAAAAAATTTATCAAACAAGTAAACAAGAAAGAGTGAAGAAAGAAAAAAAATCATCACATAAACATTTTTGAAAAGACCTGGTTCGTTTTTTTTTCACCATTCAAAAAAAAGAGAGCCGGAATGAATATATAAAATTCAATATGAAAAAAAAGAGTAAACGATGCCATGTTAAAAACAGAAAATTATTCAACACAAAAGCAGCATTAACAATAACAAAAGAATATAATACATCTACAACTACCATTACAAATGTGAACCACAGTAAAGATGTCATTTGTCATCATTTCATATATATAAAATGCATAATATCAAAATTGTGACAATAACAATTTAGAACCGTATTCAATTACGCATCACATGTAAACCTACACATCCACATAGTTCTGTTTCAAACACATGTCTATAGACAAATGATCATAGTTGGGATTTTTAAATAAATAAACCAGAAACAAAACAAAAAAAAACAAGACAACAAACCTCGTTTAGCCATCCATTCCAATTGTTCGGATCGTAAACCTATGAAAATAATTCCATTTATTATACCGATTGTAGCTGGTATAGCTCCAGAATTTCTGATTATTGATTCTACTTTTATTGCCGTTCTTCGAGGAATAGAAAAAAAATCCATTATCTATAAATCAATAATCGGAATCAATGACATTGGACTTACTGTAGATTATGTGGATATGGCATTCCATGGGTTATGATTGTCGATTCTAATGCTACGATTGGATCATTATTAGCACGAGCTTCATGCAATTCTTCACTCATAACAATCAATCGATTTGGACGATTCATAATCTGTCCAGAGGAAACTGCAACCACTGGAATGTTAAGATATCAAATTTTCTTTATTACTTTCATAAACTCACCATTATTGGTGACGACAAACGGTTTGAAACCTTCCGGAATTTTTCTTGTATATGAACGAATTCTAAATGAAAAATATTTTGAACGAGCAAGTTTTTCATTGAAAACATTAGATATATTTGTGATAAATTTCCAATGAAAACTTTTTAGCAACATTGTTAGGAAAATAAATTTTACAGGAAGTAGATTAAAAAAAACAAATTAAACGGCGAAAATATATGACCACAAAATAGAAAACAAATACAAAACAACAAGTAAATTTTATTAAAATAAATAGCGCCAGAAGATATCGATTGTGGACAATCGATTGATTGATTTATGATCATCAATTAGAAATTTAAATTTATTTATGCAAATAAAAATTTTTATTACAAAAAAAAAATTTGAAAATATATAAAATGTTTAATGTTCAACACGAACAATTTGTTTTTTAACTGCGAGTACTCGTTCTGGTTGTTGACCAGGTTTACTATGTCGTAATCGATTTGCTTCCCTGAAAGAAAACAAAAAAATTCATCAATCAATTAATTGTCGATCGATTATCAAAAAAAAAAAAAAACTTACTTTCGTTTTTTAGCAGCAATAATCTCCTGCATTTCTTTTCGACCATGATAGATATGTTTTGGCACGTGACGAAAACGAGCGATACGACGAATTTCTGGGAATTGGCCAAATTTTTCTTTCAATTTATCTTGATAACGAAAATTGCTAAGCTCACGAGGCGCTTTCTATCGGAAAAATTAAAAATAAATTAGAAAATAAATTTTCATCAACTTAATTCTAATACACACAAATCCCAATTTTTCTGATGCATTTGCCTTCCATATCCGTATGTCCATTTCATCGGAACTACTCAATATGTAACGGGCATCTAGTGACCAGGCAACATCGGTTAATCGTTGCATTCGTTTTGTGTGATAGACTTCACGACTACGACGTTCACGTGAACCAAATATCCGTATTGTTTTATCATAACCGGCAGATACAAATTCACGGCCAGTAGGTGAGTAATCTAACGATATAACAGCCGATATATGATCCTTATGGACTTGCAGAGGAAATTTGAGTTTTCGCATATCAAAAGTATGCAAACTGTATGAAAAAACATTTTTTTTAAAACATATTTGATTGGAATTAAGAACTTACTCATAATCTTCATTAGCAACGGTAAAAATGAATGCTTCCATTGGATTCCAACAAATAGCATTCGAACGCATAGCCATAACTACTTTACGAGCTGGTTGTGATTTACGAATATCGTATAGGATTAAACTTCGATCAGTTGATGAAGCAACAGCGATATCATTTTCAATCGGATTAAAACGAATATGATTAACTGTATCGATACCCCATGACCAGGATTTTAAAGGCTGTGTTCGATTCTCTTCCCACAATTCTACACCTTGACCACATGTTATTAGATATGGTTTCTGTCGATGATTATCGATAAAATATACAGGATTCTTAGTCAATATCGTATTGATCGGTGTATCGGCCATCTGCATTAATTGACATTGCCGTTCTGAATCCATTTCGAATACTTGTTCATCATTATTAAGCCATGAGAGATTCCATTGTTTTATGGTTTGACTATCATCAACTGAGAAGAAATATTTTCCATGCTGTGGTATGCAAACATTACGGACAATACTATTATGAGCTTTGATTGTTCGCATACAATGACAATTGGTTAGATTCCAGATTTTAACTTCACCATTACAGGCAGCCGAAAATAGTACGGATAATTTGTTAGGATGTTTGGTTAATTTTTGTACGGAATCTGAATGCCCGTCCAATGATCCGATGAATGGTTTAGCGAAAATTTTATCTAGTTTAACCGAATTTAATGCCCGTTGATATTCACGATTTACGGCGAATGGATGTAAGGCTGGATCATAGTTACGCGGCACTAAAAATCAATCAACATAAAAATTAATGACCAAAAATTTCAACACACTTCAACTTACGTTTATGAATATCATTTTTAGTTTCACGTAAATAATTATCAGCACTTCTACTAATTACTTTAACTTTAGGCATTTTTAAAAACTATCCAGAATTTAAAATTCTGAAACCAAATAAATTCCACACGTGTGTGTTGATTGCAAATGACATAATAATCGCAATACAATCGATATTTTTTTCAAGTATTGCGCATGTTTATAATTACATCATGAGCAAACGGAGCAATAGCAGCTGGTGGAGTTTTTGTTTTCTTTCATTTTGTATGAATCATCGAAAAAATCCAGTTATTTTTTGTCCTGTTACTACGTTTTTATATTTTTAAAGACAAGCGTTTATTATTTTTATTCATTTGTGTTTGAAATTTTTATTGAACAAAAAATTTGATACAACCATGTCAATGTTTAATAATTCACACCACGAATCGGGTGGTGTCGTACTATTTAACGGTGAATTGATTCTGTTATTCTGTGAAAATGTTAACATTCAAGTTGTTGAACGTAATCATAATGTATGTAATATTTGATGATCCATTCTAAAAGTTCAAGAACTTATTTTTTTCCAATTTTTTAGGAAACTGGCAAACTTTACTTGACCACACATAGAATGATATTCACTAATCGTTCAATGTCGAATAGCATGAAATCATTATCGATTCCTTTTTACACATTACATGATCTATCATTGGAACAACCAATTTTCGGTGCAAATTACATCAAAGGCAAATCGTCTGAGGCTGGAAACAATTCTAAATTCACTTTTAAATTGAAATTCACAAGTGGTGGTGCTACCGAATATGGACAAGCTTTGTTGAATGCAGCTAAATCGGTCAGGAATTTTCAACAATCCAATGCTTTCCAACCTCCACCAGCTTATTCAAATCCAGCTGGACAATATTATCAGGCACCACCAAATGTTTATCAGCCTGCTTATAACTGTGGCTTTGCATTACCGAATGATATATTCAATCAACCGCCACCGGCTGGATTTATCTATACATCGGAAGCACCACCACCCTATCCAGGATTGAATACACATGAAATGCAAAAATCGGCTTACCCAACACAACCACCACCACCACCACAACAGCAACAATTTGGCAGTGGACAGCCCCCACAAATGGGCTTTGGTGGTTTTCAACAACCTCTTAACAGTGGCGGCAGCTATCCTCAACAGCCAGCATTTGCACCACAAATTCCACCACCAGCTTATCCAGGATCACAAAATGGATATCCATCCGGTGGCCAGATTCCTCAGCCACCAACTAATCCAATGTATCCAAATCTTAACGATTTGAAACCATCGGCACCTCCTTCTTAAAAAAAAATTAGATGTAGCCAACAAAAATTCATTTGAAATTTCAAAGAATATCTTTCCTTTATTCTCGCTATTTTTCTTTATAAAAATATTCAAATATTTATTCTTTGTTTGATTTTATTCACGATTATAATAATTAACTGAGATTATAAGTTTAAACGATGTTTACTATTCAACGGGTCGAAAATTCTAACCATTTTTATATGTGATTTGATTTGAATAATAATTAAATATAAGTTTCAGGCCCTATATAAATATCATTTGTTGAATATTGATCTGTGTTTGTGTTTGTTTGTGTGTGTGTGTGTGTATGCAATGAATAAGGAAATGAATTCCAAAACTAACAATAAAACAAATGACGAAGTGGTTAAAATAACAGATATGATGGCCGATAAAGTTGAATCCTATCCTTCAGTATATTATGAAATAAAAGAAAAACAACCAATAGATCATAAATCAGGCCTTGTTATCAAATTCATGTCAAATGAAAAATCCATGATCGATATTAATAATGAAAATCAAATGAAATTGGTGAATGTACGGCCAGCTATCGATAAACCATTGATAGATTCTTCTTCTAATGATGGTAAGAATATTCCAGTACAAATGTCACTAGATGAATCGGAAAGTTCGGTAGCGGATTTATTCGTCACCAGATCGGAATTGTTGGCCGAAGAAAATGTACCGTCGATCATCGGTTTACAAGATAATGATAAAAATGTAAAATCGAATATTTTGGAAGCCAATCAATGTTATTCACAGCAGCAGCAACAGCAATCGTCGTCCATAATTGAAACACACAAACAATTTCAAACAAGAGGACCCAAATTAGAATTAACATTGAACAAAGTAAGAAAGGCAATCGAAAATCTTAGACCATCAAAACCGATATCTCCATTGCCTCCGTCTTCATCATCATTGATCATAGATTCATCTTGGGTAGGTCAGAATTCTGCACGATTTAAATGGATACCATTACAGTCAATGGAAGAGATTCGAAAAAATTGGCTCGAATGGAATCAGAAACAGGAATCAGCATGCATATTGATGGATGAAAATAGTTTGACTGTTGTAGATGGAGATGATCAATTTGCTACCTATTATGATCGTTATCATAAATTGTTTGCATCAAAAATACGTGGTACTGCATTCTATCTAGGTCGATTTCGAAATCATCATCCAATATTGGTTAAAAGAATCACTACAGAGAGAAAATATTTCGACTTGGATGCTACTTGGATAGCAATAACTAAACGAATTTGTTCATCATCGTCATCAAGTGACGATAACAATCCATTCATAAGAATTTATGAAATTTTCCATTCACCATCCGCATCTCAAGTATTCATGTTCATGGAATTGCTACCAAATAAATCTTTGCATTATCATCTAAGACGTCGACGATCGATTCGTATCGATGAGATTAGCCTTTGGTCGAGTCAATTATTGAATGCCATAGCCTTCATGCATAATCATGCCATAGTCAACAGGTCATTACGTTTAGAACATCTTCTTTTAGACGAAAAATTCAATATTAAAATAATTAATTTTCGTCGTTCAATATCATATTGGATTCCTGGCTCTACGATTAATCGTCAACAGGTGAATAGAATATCTAAACGAGAAAAAAAATGTCGCCAAAACAATCATCTGCCACCAGAATGTTTCCATAATAATTATAATCCACAATCGATTGATGTTTGGTCATTTGCAGTCATCGTTTGTTCATTGGTTACCTATCGTTATCCATTCAAATGTATGTCAAAACAGATTATTAGAAATATGGAACAATGTTGGCTTGATTTCAAACAACGACATCAATCATTATTTATTACAACAACCGATGGTATTCGAATTCTTGAACAAATAGCTGAAATGATATCAATGATATTTAAACAAGATCCATGTAAACGTGCTAATATTAATGATGTACAGAAATGTTCATTCTATTGCAATAATAAATAAATAATAATAAAAATGACAAAGTTAATGAAATATAAATTGAAAAAATTTTTTCAAAATAAATTGTAAAAATATTGTCTTATTAGAGAGTAACACCATCTTTTGGCCAACAAATTTCAACCTTTCTCAAAAATTTTTTGTTGTTGTTGTTGTTGTGTAGTAGCAGTAACGCCTTATCGATTAACTGTGAATGCCGTCGTATGTGTGTGTATTATATTATGGTAGATAATAGAGCCAGATGTTCAAAAGCTGGCTCATTTTAGTTGAATGAAGTTTTTTTTGATGTTTTTGTTGTTGTTTTGTTCATTGCAATTTCTTGCCCCGCTCATTGTGAATGAATATCATTTTCATATATCAATAATAATAATAAAATGATTTATTAATATTGTGGTATGTGTCTCTTCTTCTTTCTGTCTGTCATTTGAAATGAACTTGAAAATTTTCCCGTTCTTTTTCTCATCAGAATTTTTGATTCGTCATATATAAAAAAAAAAATAAATAAATGCTGATGAAGAATTCATCAATTGATTCAACAATTGGAAAAAATATCGATCAAATCAAGGAAATAATTTATTTATGAAATTTTATACCACACACAAACATCACAGAAATATATTTATGACAACAGTGAATAACATTGGAACCTATTGTGAATTTGATTCCTTTATCAATTTTTTGTAACCAATTCAATTATCTACTCAAACATCAATAATGGATTGTTGGCAAAAAATGTTTTGATTGAACTAATATATATCCTCCTCCCATTTTTTTTTTGTTTCTTGTTGATAGAGCCAACACACGACCGACGACGATCATATTTAATCGACTGGATAAATAATAGTAAAAATCAACGAGAATTCGGGTACACATTATTGCCGATCGTATCTCTCTATACTGTGATGATCGATTTTTTTTTGGTGTAATTGTAACATACACAACAACATATTATAGTGAATGATATTTGAAATCCTTGGCTCTAAGCAACCAAATCATCATCTCACTTATTATCGACGATTTCTGTTGCTGCTCACTAACAGATAAATCACCCCAAATTTGACTCCAATCAAATAACGAAAGCAAAAAAAAACGGATTTATTGACTGGTGGCTACAATTTTTTTTTGTGTGCATATAGAAGACGATTATTCTCAGATCAACTAGGATGGCATTTAACAATCATCATAATGTTCATCACAATCATTATCAGCAACATGACAACAACAACATCAATAATAACAATAGCAACAATACTACCTCATCTTCATCGTCATCATCATCATCAACATCGATGATGAAAATGGCTGCAACGACAACGGCCAATGATAATGGCAACGGCATTAGTTTGTCACCATCATCATCAACACCGGCGGTCGGTGCCATCATTGGCAATAATGGTGGTGTTAATAACAATAATAACAACAACGGTACGTTTCTGTGTGATATATCGAATCTAACAGCGGAAGAACGAAATAAATTGGATGAAATACGACAAAAACGACAAAAATTATTGAATGAGATTCAAAAATTAAAAGAGGAAATATCTTTGGTTAAGAAGGAAATGTCTCGTCTTGATCATCATCCACTTCAACAACAGCAGCCACAGCAATATCCACAATCAAATTCTATAATCGATGGTTCGTCAAATGATCATGTAAACAACAATAATGGGAATCAGCAGCGTTTAAAACAACTATCGATTGGAAAGAAAAAATTCAACATGGATCCAAAAAAGGGTATCGAATTTCTTATCGCTCAAAATCTAGTAGGTAATACTCCTGAAGATGTAGCAATATTTTTATACAAAGGTGAAAGCCTAAATAAAACGGCCATAGGAACATACTTGGGCGAGAAAATTGATTTCAACCTGAAAGTTTTAAATCACTTTATTGAGTTACATGATTTCAAAGATTCATTACTGGTTCAAGCACTTCGACAATTTCTGTGGTCATTTCGATTGCCAGGCGAAGCACAGAAGATTGATCGAATGATGGAGAAATTCGCTGCACATTATTGCCACCAGAATCCTGGTGTATTCTCCAATACAGACACTTGTTTTGTTCTTAGTTTTTCAATCATTATGCTCAACACATCGTTACATAATCCGAATGTAAAAGATAAAATGACGGCCGATAAATTTATTCAAATGAATCGTGGTATAAATAATGGTGGTGATCTATCCAAAGAATTACTTTTATCTTTATATGAAAATATACGTCATGAACCGTTCAAGATACCGGAAGATGATGGCCAAGAATTGATGCATACATTTTTCAATCCTGATCGTGAAGGTTGGCTATGGAAACAAGGTGGCCGTTATAAAAGTTGGAAACGTCGTTGGTTTCTATTGAATGATAAGTGCCTTTATTATTTCGAATGCGATACTGATAAAGAACCACGTGGTATTATACCATTAGAAAATGTTGATATACGTGAAATTGGTGATCGTGGAGGTCGACAACATTGTTTTGAACTTTATTCACCTATTAGTGATGTGATTAAAGCATGTAAAACAGATACCGAAGGTCGTGTCATTGAAGGACGACATTCTGTATATCGATTATCAGCTGCAACAGCGGCAGAAAAAGATGCTTGGGTCAAATCTATACAGACAAGTGTTTCAAGAAATCCATTCTATGAAATGTTAGCGGCACGTAAACGTAAAGCACAACAAAATTAAAAAAGTAGACAAATTGAAACTTACAAAAAGTCTTTCAATCATCATTCGCTTAATTCAACTATCGTAATGCAACCATTCGATATCGATAGGATTTACGAAAGGATTTTGATTCTCACATTCTAAGTCAATCAGTCTAAATCATCCATCATCAAGCGCATTTTAATTCACATAACCATTCATTGATGCCATTCATAGAATCATCATGATCACTTTATGACCATCTTCAATCCACAGAAACATTTTTATTTCCGATCATTATATTGTAAATATTTCCCTTTCCATTAACAATCTTAATTATTGTTGTCTTATATCTGAATTTCAGAAATTCCATCCTATAAAGTTTAAAAAAAAATCATTTTCAATTTTAACAAACAAACGAAATAAATAATTTTTTTTTTTTTTAATTTTAATAAGTAAATTTTCTTCTTTTTTTTAAATTTTATTTTACAAAAGTATAAATAGTGATGATTTTGTATCTGATGTTTATAGTGTGGTAAAATCAAATTCCGTAACTTGAATCGTACTCGCACAGAATCTTCTGTGTGTGTATATGATGAGCTTGTTGTTGTTGTTGTAATGATTATTATTGTTGAACAACTTATTTTGTTTTTCTTTTTGTTATGCACAAAAAAAATTGTTAAATAACATATGCACATAAGAAAATAACCAAAAAAAAAAAAAATCCTACAGCTTAAACAATAAAATAACTTTGATTTATCATTGGTAATTTTTGTTTCCTATTCAATGTTTTTTTATTCTAATATGATCGTACTGCTGGCGGTATTGTCTGTGCTTGCTCATCCAATGTTTTATCAATTACAGGACGATACCAAAGTTTAACATTGCCATCAGATTCAACAAACGATAAAGTATGTTTACGCCAATGTTGTTCAAATGAGCGTCGTTGTTGACCATCCAATGGTTTTGAATAATTAAATTCATCAATACGATCTTTATAATCTTCACGTGCATGTGCACCTCTTGATTCTTTTCGTGCTTCGGCTGAATTTACGGTCATCATTGCATTCAACATTAAATTTTGTAATTCCAATGTTTCGACAAGATCTGAATTCCATATTAATCCTGAGTCCATAACCTACAGAAAAAAAAACGGATAAATATAAGTTCATTGAGAACAAACAAAAACTTTTAATAGTAAAAACTAGGAAATTATATGAAGGTGGCAAGCCTATCATTATCATTTTCAATCATCATTCAAAATGATGATAAAAAATGACGGATGCCATCAATGGACAATCAACATGTCAAACATATCAATTTAAAATCATCTCAATGATAAATTATACTTGTCATCATTTATGGTAAATTCATTGCCCTATCAACAATTTGTCATTGTTATATCATATGTAAGAGAGAGAGAGAGAAACTGACATTTTACAAATGAATAGAATGTGCCATCATCATCGTCATCATAATTCGTATTATGTAGGATAATTCAAACACACTAGTTCTAAAAAGCAAATAAAAAAAATTCAAAGGAAAAAAATTATAATAATTTTTCAACAAGAGAATGTTGAACTCTCAAATATGTTTGCAGTAATTACATAAAACTAACAAAAATATCGAGCAGATAAAACAAGCTAGCAATAATCTTCTTAGATAAATGTTTTATTTTGATCGATTAATCAATCGATCAATAGCGATAAAAAAGAAAGATCAAAAATGAAACAAATGATGATATTCATTAAAATCATCATTTGACAAAACCGATCAGACATCATTTGTTGTTATGTGTTATATATTAAAAAAAAAAAAAATATCCGGGATTCAATTCATATATTGCTTGATGAATCAACGAAAAATAATGTATGGGTCTATATGTCTAACATTATCATTTATAACTATAACTATTTCAAGAAAAAAACTAGTATAAATAAAAAACCGCATTGCTATCATAATCATCCGTATCTTTCGAAATACATCTATCAATGTTTGAATCAAGCATACACACACACACACACACAATTTATGTTCTTTAATTGATTTGACACATTTTTTGGGGAAATTTAGTCGTCGATCGTTGTCCAGTCATCAATGTTCATTCATTCATTGCAGAGTTTTCTTTTTCTTAACATGGCTACTTGTATGTGTATATGTTCACCTATGCCATTTGAAATCTATCACGTACACGATATACAATAGATCAACAACTAAAATTTATCGCTTGAAAATATATTAGTAAAATAAACAGCCAATAATCAATTTCTATCTCTCAATTTCAAACGACTGTCCAACATCGATAAACATCACTTAATTGCCTTTTTGCAGAATGGTTAATACGAAAAAATCAAGTTTTTTTGAGTGTGTGTGTGTGTGTGTATGTGGCTGTGCGTTCGAATGTAAGAAGAACATTCAACAAATGATCAAAATTGATGATTGCGAATGGTCAGAAAATTATTTTTGTATCTTCAAACTTACCTTCAAATCATCAAGCATTTTAAAGTCTTGTTTAAGTTTTTCTACACCTTCTTTCAATAATGGACCCGTACGGAAAACTGCTGCATGTTCTTGCATGTCTTTTTGCATTTTCAATCGTAATTGAGCAGTCAATAAAGAACCTTTGGCATAACGTAAACGATCCAGATTATCAATAGAAGCTTCACCAGCAGTAGCAGAAAATTCGGGCAATGATTCACCAGGACGATTAGATTCAGCGATTGCATGAGCACAAGCACGACCAAAAACAACCAGATCCAGAAGTGAATTGGCACCCAAACGATTGGCTCCATGTACCGATGCACAACCAGCTTCACCAGCAGCGTATAAGCCAGGAATGACCATATCGCCCTTTTCTTCAGAATAATTCAACACTTGCCCTTTGTAATTGGTCGGTACACCACCCATATTATAATGTACAGTTGGTAACACCGGTATTGGTTCTCGAGTAACATCAACACCGGCGAATATCATGGCAGTTTCCGAAATACCGGGTAAACGAAGAGCCAATTGTTCGGCTGGTAAATGATGTAGTTGCAAATAGACATGGTCTTTTTGAGGACCACAACCACGTCCTTCACGAATTTCAATGGTCATCGATCGTGAAACGACATCTCTCGATGCTAGATCTTTGGCCACTGGTGCATATCGTTCCATGAAGCGTTCTCCTTCACTATTGACCAGAAATCCACCTTCGCCACGACATCCTTCAAAGGAAAAAAAATTGAAACAAATCTTCTCAGTTATCTATCCAAATTACCTTCAGTCATTAAACAACCAGCGCCATAGATACCGGTGGGATGAAATTGAATAAATTCAAGATCCTGGGAAGGAAGGCCAGCCCGGTTGACCATGGCCGTACCATCTCCCGTACAGGTATGTGCAGATGTACATGAAAAATATGCACGACCATATCCACTACAATAAAAATATCAATTTGAATTTTTAAACATTTTTACAGATAAATAGCATACCCCGTAGCTAGAATTGTATTCTTGGACCTGAATCGATGTAAAGTACCATCTTCGAGTGATAATGCTATTACACCACGACAGGCACCACCTTCCATAATCAAATCAAGAACGAAATATTCGATAAAATATTTACAATCATAACGCAATGATTGTCCATATAACGTATGTAATAGTGAATGACCGGTACGATCAGCTACAGCACAACAACGATGTGCTTGTCCACCTTTACCAAAATTATATGACTGACCACCAAATGCTCGTTGATAGATTTTTCCTTCAGGTGTGCGACTAAAAGGCATGCCATAATTTTCAAGCTATGAAGATATTAATAATAACTATATGAAAGTGAAATGTTATTTTTTCGATATGTCAACTGTACCTCAGTGACTGCTTTGGGTGCTTCACGTGTCATGTATTGAATAGCATCTTGATCACCAAGCCAATCGGAACCTTTAACCGTATCATACATATGCCAACGCCAATCATCCGGTTCCATATTGCCCAACGCAGCATTGATTCCGCCTTGTGCAGCAACCGTATGTGATCGGGTGGGAAATAATTTACTCACAACAGCTGTATTGAATCCTTTCTCTACAAGGCCAAATGCAGCACGTAAACCGGCACCACCTGCACCAACAACTACGGCATCAAATGTATGGTCAATCACCTGATAGCTTTTAAGCTATAAAATAACCAAGTTGGTCAGAATAAAAAAAATACAGGTAAGGTTAACATCATTTAATTTTGAAATTCTTACATTTGATTTATCATTACATAGGGAGGTAGTCGAAATATTTCGATGGAGAATATTATCAAACATGGTAGAATTATTTGTCCTCGACATCCATATTCCACTACTATTCGACCTTAGTCTTACACATTTCTGTAATAAACGCATCGACATTTTTGAATTGATCAAATTTATCATTACGGTGGTGAAAATGAAATATTTATGTGAATATAAAACACTGATGTATTGATTGATTTATTCTGACAATAATAATCGACAGTCAATTGATTAATCAGATTTGGAAAAAGTCTAATTGGTATTTAATATTTGCCCTCGCGGACAGGGAGACATACACAAACACACACACACATACACAGACAATCGCGATGGTTGCCTTCGATATATCGATGATTTTCCCATACATTTTCGAAAAATCGCATTGAAAATTATTTTTGATCTCGGTTTCTAATTATTTATTCAATTAATCAATTCAAATAGAATTGAATTAAAAAAATTATATAATACAATATTTGAATTTAGCATGGACTCAAATGAGAATTGCATAATAATCAAAAATTAAGTTGGCTGATGTTGATTGATCCCGGCTGATGTGACAAACTGTGGCGGAATGGGTGGTTGTGGCGCAATTACAGGTAATCGACCAGGCGGTACTGCAGTTGAAGCCATGGCCGGCATTCCAATCGCAGTCATTGCATGTGGAAGTGGTGGTGGTGGTGGGGGAGGTGGTACCATATGAACAGGATGAACCGTACCGGCTAATGGAAAATTATAAAACGTTGCCATTGATGTGTCCCATTGATGATGCGGTAATCCAGTGGCAGCAATTTGTGTTGGTGCCGTTAGATTTGCAACCGTAGGAATGGATGTTACGTTTGGTTGAACTATGGATTGTGGTACAGCCGCTACAGCTGTTGCATTTACGATCGGACGGAATTGTCCGAGCGAAGCAACTGGTGTTGCTGCTACAGGCGTTGGAGGTGGTCCAGTAGGTAATGAAGGTGGTTGCTGAAGCATGTTTATTGGAGTTGATGGCGACGATTGAGTACCAGCTGGTTGTGATAATTGAGGTGGTGATCGAATTGGCTCTTCATTAGAATTTGAATACAAATCCAATACCTGATGACAAATATCTTCAAGTAATTCGACAGAAAGATCTTCAACGTAAATATCCCACCAATGTTTCTGATGTGGTAATCGTCCTTCCCAATCAGTAATCTCATAACGAATTTTCGAGGCTAAAAATATCATGGCAATGGCAACGATTTCTGGTTCCCATTGTAAACAAATTGTAGTACAAAGACTAAAAAATAAAACAATAAAAACATATACAAAGTAATTCATAGATTAATAAATACCTGTCGTTGGTGAATGTCCATGCCATTTGTAACATGCCCTGTATCTTATCTTTATTCCCTTTGAAACATTTAGCATAGCTAACTAAAAATCTATAAGGATGTTCAACCTGAAGATCAAATCGTATTGTTTGCAATACGATTCGTTCAAGTGTAAGAACTTCTTCTTTAGGATCATCACCAAATGTACCAAATTGATTATCATCCAACAATGTACGAGCAATTTTTATGATATCTTTACATTTTTTCGGTGTTTCCTCAGCTTTTCCGGCCAAAAACAAACAACAAGCTGCAGTTACATAACGAGGAAAAACTTTGAACGAATGTCGCATGTAAAACCGATGAAAATATACGACACCGGTGGCCAAAGTATCATAACGAAGTTTCATTTGTAAACCAGCATTTAAAATGAATCGAGCACCTTCATTTCGATACATTCGTTCTTTTTCATAGCTTATACCATCCAATATTGAAGGCGTTCGTTTCAGTTCACTTTTATCATAATACCAATTGTATTGTTGAATCAAACTAGATGATTGTTGATTCGAATTAGCTGATGAATTGTTCATAATAGATGATGAAGAAGCTGATCCTGGAATCGTTTCCGAATCCATTTGTGTCATTCTGATAATAAAAATGATTTAAAAATAAAAATTCATCACATTTATTTGTAAATACCTTTTTGAGGATAATCTACTGCAAAAAAAATCACACCATAAAGGAGAATTCAAATAATTAAAAATTGTTTTAAATAAGGCAAAATAAATGATCCAACAAAAGTGTAAAAGAATGTGAGAGCGAGCGAGCGCGTATCAGACATTGTGTTGTTTAAATAGCCGTGTTAGGGGCAAATAATAAAACGTCGCATATGACGCGATACGGTTTTTATGATTCATTCAACCAAGAATTTTTCTTGAGAATTATTGATGCCAATTATTTCGAAATTTTATTCACTTAAAATTTTTTTGTGAATCTTGGCAGAATATCTCATTCAAAAAAACAATGGTTCCATAATTAAATTTCGAATCTTTTTTTCATTTTGCATTGTTAATTTTTTTTCTTATTTTAGTGGTCATCATAGAATCGATACAACAAAAATGACATTCAAAGATCTAACTTCAGTTCGTGATAGTACCGATCAATTGGTACAAAGTGTTCAGTGTTATAATGTTAAACCACTAATTCTGCAAGGTTTTATTGGGCCATTTTTTACATTACAAACAATACTATGTGTCTGGTATTTTTATTCCGATGAAAATTATTCCGATGTCTACATTATAACCGGTGGATCTCTTTGTCTATTGCAATTACTCACATTTTTGTCTGGAATGTGGTCAGTACATTGTCTATGTTTTCTTGCTTATTCAAAGGTATATTTCAAAGTTGTTTAGATCCTTTGAATACATTACTTTTTTTACAGGTAAAAAATGTAACCGATGCAGCCTGGGCAAAAGTAGTGCCCACTTCTAATAATGGTTCAGCTGAACTTGTACCGTTACGGCATGCAAAAATCGATGGCAAAGAAACCATTTGGTTTTTGTTTCAAAAAACCAAATATATTTATGATTATGATAAACAAACGTTTCAGCTGATCATTTTTCCTACGGATCTTCCGTACAAAACATATCAAAAATGGCATGGCTATCCAAATGATAATGAACTACAAACAGCAATTAAATTATATGGAAAAAATCTTCTCGACATGGATATACCGGATTTCTGGACACTATTCCGTGAACGAGCAACGGCACCATTTTTTGTTTTTCAAGTATTCTGTGTTGGTCTTTGGTGTTTGGATGAATTTTGGTATTATAGTCTATTCACCTTAATGATGTTGGTTGCATTCGAAAGCATTCTTGTTACACAACAATTGAGAAATATGGCCGAAATTCGTAAGATGGGAAATAAACCATATGAAATGTTGGCATATCGTAATCATAAATGGCATTCAATTCTTTCATCAGAACTTATCCCAGGTGATATTATATCCATTGGACGATCTCAAGATGATAATCTTGTTCCATGTGATTTAATACTTTTACGTGGTTCATGTATTGTCGATGAATCAATGTTGACTGGTGAATCTGTACCACAGATGAAAGAACCGATTGAAAATCTAATCGATGTCGGTGATCGACAATTCAATGTTGATACCGACGGAAAACTGCATGTTTTATATGGTGGCACAAAAATTCTTCAACATACATCGCCGGTGAAAAATGCTGTCAGTTTACGAGCCAGTGATAACGGTTGTATTGCATATGTACTTCGTACTGGATTTCAGACATCTCAGGGAAAATTGCTACGGACCATTCTTTATGGTGTTCAACGAGTTACGGCCAATAATATTGAGACATTTGGTTTCATTTGTTTCTTGCTTATTTTTGCTATTGCTGCCGCATCATACGTTTGGAATCATGCATCCGAAGATCCTAAACGAAATAAATATAAATTAATGCTCGAATGTGCATTGATCTTAACATCAGTCGTACCACCAGAATTGCCAATAGAATTATCATTGGCTGTCAATAGTTCATTAACATCATTGATCAAGCTATACATTTTCTGTACCGAACCATTTCGAATTCCTTTTGCCGGAAAAGTTGATATTTGCTGTTTTGATAAAACTGGTACATTGACCAGTAATGATCTTGTAGTCGAAGGTGTTGCCGGTCTTGATCCACAAAATGATGATAAAATTCAGACACCTCAAGAAGTCCCAATTAAAACCATCCAAGTATTGGCTACATGTCATTCACTTGTATATCTAGACGATGGACTTGTTGGTGATCCATTAGAAAAATCGACACTCAAATCAATCGATTGGACATTGACTAAAGGTGATTCGGTTATTCCACGTAAAGGCAAACAAACAGGCTTGAAAATATTCCAACGAAATCATTTTTCAAGTCAATTGAAACGAATGTCAGTTATTGCTGGTTATAATGACGTTACATCAGGTGAATCCAGTTATTTCGTATCGGTCAAAGGAGCACCGGAAATTCTTAAACCAATGGTATGTATTTTTCAAAAATCAAAAAAAAGTAAATTCTAAATTTTTAATTCTTTTTTCAAGTTTTCAAAAATTCCGGATAAATATGATAACGTATACCTGGAAATGTCTCGTAAAGGTGCACGTGTGTTAGCGTTAGGTCGAAAAAATCTAGGCAATATATCGCCTGGACAAATTAGGAATTTCACTCGTGAAGAAGTGGAAACTGAACTCGAATTTGTTGGCTTTCTGATAATTTCCTGCCCGCTAAAACCTGATTCAATCTCAGTAATGAAAGAAATTATTAGTTCATCACATTATGTTACAATGATTACCGGTGATGCACCACTTACCGCTTGTCATGTAGCTAAAGAGCTATATTTTGTTTCGGGTAAAAAACCAACAATTATTCTCAATGGTACGGAAAAACTTGTGTGGAAATCAATTGATGAAAAAATCTGTTTACCATTGATACCTGATAACAATGAATTCTTTCGACAATATGAATTCTGTGTTACCGGCGATAGCCTCAATGCTTTACTTGATTATGATCCGAAATTTTTCATCAAAATTTTGCCCAAAATTCGTGTGTTTGCACGTGTGGCACCGAAACAAAAAGAATTCATCATAACATCATTACGATCATTGGGTTATACAACATTAATGTGTGGTGATGGAACCAATGATGTTGGCGCATTAAAACATGCTCATGTTGGCGTTGCTTTACTTTCGAATCCCTTACCTATGCCGAAAACTGAAAAATCATCTAACAACATCCCAGCTAATAATAATGGAGATTATCGTCGTTCAATCAATGATGTATTGGCCGAACGGAATAATAGTCGTATAATGAATAATAACCATCATAGGCAACGACGAAATCATGGTCATAATAATAATTCCATGAATTCGGCATCGTCTTCAGTGAATCCACGTATGATTCGCACACAGGAGCGTATCAATCAATTATTGAAAGAATTGGAAGAACAAGATAAATCTCAAATTGTAAAGTTGGGTGATGCTAGCATTGCTGCACCATTTACATCGAAGCTATCATCGATTCAATGCAGTAAATAGAATTTTTTTTCATATTCATGTTAAATAATTGATAATTTTCATTGTAATGCTTTTTATTTTTTATTAGTTTCACATATAATTCGTCAGGGCCGTTGTACATTAGTCACAACACTACAAATGTTTAAAATTCTTGCACTCAATGCTCTTATCCTAGCCTATTGCCAATCAGTACTTTATCTGGACGGAATTAAATTCAGTGATGGTCAAGCAACACTACAGGGACTCTTCCTTACCGGTTGTTTTCTATTCATCACTCGTTCAAAGGTAAGGTTCCAATAGCTTTGTGATATTTGTCCTGATTTCATTGTTGATTAATAGCCATTGGAGGTACTATCAAAACGCCGTCCATTATCCAACATATTCAACTTGTACACCATATTGACCGTATTGCTTCAATTTGCTGTACATTTTTTGGCCTTGGTTTATCTAGTCCGTGAAGCAACGGCAATGTCACCGCCACGGACGGAAAAATTCGTCGATCTAGATACTGAATTCAAACCATCATTGTTGAATTCGACTGTCTATATAATTTCCATTTCATTACAAGTTGCAACATTTGCCGTCAATTACAAGGTTAGTTGCTCATTTTTATTTCTATTTATGACCGTGATTCATGAATTCGAAATTAATGATTTCATAATTACCTCATCTTTATTCAGGGTCATCCATTCATGTGTAGTTTGGCAGAAAATCGTCCACTTTTGTACAGTATTCTGGGCTCATTTGGTTTGGTTATCGTTCTTGTTACTGGTGTGATGCCCGAATTTTCTGAACAATTTTCCGTTGTTGAGTTTCCACAGCCGGTAACCATTTTTTATTTGTTTCTCGATTATCGAGCTCTCTTTAATAAATTTCTGTTTATTTTTAATTTCAACAGTTTCAAACGACCATACTAACGGTATTGGCTTCTGATCTTATCGGTGCATTATTTATTGATCGAATATGTGAATTGATTTTGGACCGGTCATCGATGAAATCAATTTAGTTCAGATTTATAATTATAATTTTTTTCAAATTTATTCAAATTGGACTGATAGCTCTCTGAATGTAATTTTCACAAAAAAATGTCTATTATATTTAATGAAAACTATTTTAATTATTAAAAAAAAATGAAAATTCAAATCAAAATCGACGGACAACTGGGCAATTCGGACCATCGAAACATTTTTTTTATGTCCTGGGAATGGCGTATTGTTATCCTCTCCTGTATATAATCATGGAGATTTCATGGATAATGATAAAACCCCCAAATTATAAAGGACAAAATTAAAAAAAAAATTTGTGACCGTTTTGTGATATCAAGATTAAAGTTTTTCTTCCTAACTCTTTGGTATGCGATTCGGTCTCCACAAATTAAAATTTCTTTTCTTTTTTTTGGGAATAAATAAATAAAAATCGGAACAAATTTAGACCACACACAAAAAAAAATGATTTCTTTTTCTTCATTCATTTATTTATTTTTTTCTATATTTTCAAATAACCAAACATGCAGACAAACAAAAATTGTAACGAAGGACAACTCATTGAAAGAATGATAATGATGCAATGATGATGGTGATGTATACAAAATGATGATCATTTATGGTCAAAATTGGTCATCAAATGATTCGAATCATCAACAATAGTAATGATATAATGATTATGGTCAAAAACCATTGACCAGTATGATGATGGTTAAATGCTGTGGCTGAATTGCCTAGATTACAATAATTACTTCGACAGCAACTAGCACATATGCTTAGCTTAGTTTTTTCACCTAAAATATTTTTTGTGAAAAAAAACCGGGTATGGAATAAATGGATAATAATTATGGTCAATATTTTTGCTACCAAATATTATATAAGGAAAAGAAAAACTTACCATTACCAATGATAAAACAACCATCCGTACATTGTTCAGCACAACCACGTTTTAAGGCAAAAAAATTAAACTCTTGTACATTGTCTGGTGCACTAACGCCTAATCGTATGACCACACAATATTGTTCGCTCGGTGAACAATCGGCACGAAATTCATTCATTAAATTTGGATCCATATGACCGCCATTATTTGTCGGTAATAAACTTTGATCTTCGCTTGATGATGAAGCTGTTGCTAATAAATCATAGCTACTACTATCTGCCGATAGTATAGATTCAAGGGTATAATGATCATGATTTGGATTATGATGATGGTCATGGTTTGAATATCCGGATTGATCATTATCGTATCCAATCATAGAATGTTCACCACTACCAGTGTTGCCACCCATTTCCTGTTGTTGTTGTCGATGAAGACGGTTAATTGTTTCATTTAGATATTTGCAATTAATATCATCGATTGTAGTGCATACATAACAAGATAGATTCGATATAAGTAACATGTCTGAAACGCCAATTCCACTATTACTAGTGATCACTTCGCTATTCATTCCTTTTGAATTTAGAATTAGAATTGATGATCAATATATTGGAATCATAATAATCTTGAGAAAATCAATACGAACTTACTTGATAAGGCTGCCGATGATGAAGAAGCAATTATAATCAACGATGGTATTATAAACCATAGAATTGTCAATGGTTTTAACATCAATGAATGTTTGTTTTTGGAATTTGAAAGAGGATTACTTGTCGTAGTAGGTATCAGTGATATGAGGAAAGTTGTAAACATTTTTTTTTTAATTTAATTTTTGATTTTTCTTATTTTTTAGTAAATAATCAGATGAATAACCAAAACTCGATTGGTTTTCCAATATTGCTCTTATATGCAATCATATGCATTAAAGTGTTTTTATTTTCATCATAATACAAAGTCATACTAAACTGAATCAATAATGAAATATAGACCAAGCTCCAAGACCAGAATCTATGATTCACAACCATATAAATAAATAAGCGCATGATTCTTGAAATTCATGTGAAGAAGAGCATTTCCGAAGAGAATCATGACGCCCAAATTATATAGTCTGTTTGCGTGTGTGTGTGTTTCAATGATTTTAATGACAATCAAATTTTGCATTTATTCAAAACAAGAAAAAAAAACATTTCAATTTTTATTTCAACAACAAAAAAAAAAATTGAGGCACAATAGAAAAAAAATTCCAATGAGAAAAAGGTAATAAATAAAAGAAAAAATATAACAAAAAAAAATATAAAAAAAAGAATAAAAGCCATATCCATTTCCTGTTCGATTCGTTTCATTTTGTTTCGTTCATTGACTCGTTTTCTGCTTATGATCATGATGATTTATATAGAAGAATGGTTAGATCTTTATACAACATTCTAATATAATTCGACTGTGTGAAGTAAAAAAAAAAATTGAATAAATGTTAAATCAATGGATAAATTTTGCGCATTCACAATTTTTTTTCAAATTTCAATCAATTATCATCGTACCTTGGTATGAGTTACACAAGAACCCCAATTTCTTCCAACAATACAATGCCATGTTGGTTCATACAATTGATCGAAATTTTGTTTTATACTTTCAGCTATATGTTTTTCAGTTGTATATGTACGTAATGCATGTATTGTTGATTGCATTGCCGATTTTTGTATTGATGCAGGCATATCGGCTGCTTGTATTTTCAATTCTAAAGCTGGATCATCATCAGCGGATGAAATATCCGTAGAATTATTGTCACTAGATGAATTTGTTACATTAACATCATGATGATGATGATGATGAGAATGATGTACGTTGCGACCATTGTTGATGGAGAATCGTCTTTCAAGATCTTTATGTGCACTTAATAACCTTATTTTAGGACTGAGGATGTTGTTAAAAAAGGAAAACAAAACAAAACAAAATTCATATGTTACATAAATAAATTTGAGAAGAAAAATCTATAGCTAAAAATATAAACAAACAACAGACGTACAGATAACCACTTTGTCCTAAATCGCAGGAATCATGTTTACCACCATCACCAGTACTATTTGTTGGACTTGGCTTTGAATTTGAAGCAGCTGCAGCTGCCATCATTGAACCACGAAGATAATTTGTCGATGAATTACCGATCATTGATGGAAATCTAGATGTTGTTGGCCGTTCGATCATGTATTCAAAATTTTTTACATTTAACAATTCTAATTATAAAAAATGTAGAAGATATTGAAAATCGAATATCAAACAATCAATAATCTGAATTACCTTTACGAGCTCTTCGATAGAATGATACGGCACAAATGACCGAATATACACGTAACGAAGTTAAAAATGTTACAATCACAGAAACAAATATATCGATGACACCCGTACCCGACTTTAATAATGATAAAATGTTGGTAGAAAACAATGAAAAAATTCATAAATGATCAATTATTATTTTAGATTCAAGACAAGTAAAACAAAATATATTTACCTTCATACTGGTCAAACGAAGTGCAACATGAGCCGGTAATTGATTATATTCTAATGAATGTAATGGTATTCGCATGTCACGAGGAAAATAATGATCACGCATCAAATACTGATTCAATTCATTTTTTTTAAATGAGATTAAAAAATCGAAATCAACATTTCAATTCAAATCAATTAATAAAGAATTTCGTAAATCCAATAATAATTTACCATTATGATTCGAACCATAACAAAACCGGCACTGGCAGCAATATCAACAGCAGCAAATATAGCCAACAAAAGTACCGTTTTCAATGATATGTCTTGCTGTGATGATCATCATCATCATCATCATAGTGGGGAGAAAAAAAATAAGCAAATAAAAACGAATGATGAGAAAATATAAATTTAAATTTAGAAAGAGAGAGAGAGAAAATGAAAATCACATGGATTAACAACGAAAAAAAAACTTCCTGTTGTTGACAACAGAAATTTTTTTTTTGGATTCACTGTTTTTGTTTTTTTTTTTTTTTTTTTTTGATTGATTGATTTGATTAAACCGCTAGATAAAAGAGGCAGAAAAAACGTTCACATTTCACTACTCTTCATTCAAATTTGTATTACATAAAGTTATTTTGAATACTTGAAATGATTTTCAATTGTGATTATTCCAAAAATAAGAAAAAAAACTAATTTTAACATATTGTTTGTCGTTTTACAGAACATATATATGAAAAAAAACCACTTACCGGTGTGTTTGTTGCTCGAATTGCATAGGCCATCCAACACCAACTGTGTGTGTGTGTGTTTGTGTTCCAGAAAAAAAGTATGCGTGGAATTTTTACATAATAAAAAAAGAAAGTAAAAAATTGATTAAAAAATTTGCAAAATTTCTTCAATGTTCCATTTTCAATCAACCAATATGAACATGAAATTTCGTTCATGATCGAAAAGGCTAATAGAGAGAAAGAGAAAGAAACGTGCCAAATTGATTGATTGTTTGGCCATTTTTTTTCAACGATCAATTATATATAATCGATCTATTGATCGATATTGACCATCATCGATGATGATGGAAAAAATTACATTTATTCTTTTCTCATTTCGTTTGGAGAGAAAAAAAAAGATTCATCACGATCTCCTTTTTAAAATTTTTCAGAAATTTTAATTTAATTTAAACATAAATCATTTTTTTTTATGTACAGCAGCATATCGAACACAACCTTATCGATGATCAGATTTTTTTTGGCTTCCTTACTGTGAAGACATTACCGTCGCAAGAGGATCAAGATAAACCAAAATAGGAAGAAAAAATGGAAAAAATGATTCAGAAACAGAAATTCGATGTGGTAAAATTTTCATTTTTCTACCACAAAAATTGACCATGTTGGTTATCATTATATCGGCCTATATATGTGATTCAATTCACATTGACATATTTTTCAATGAAAAAATAAAGATGAGCTCAATTATATTAGTAATTTGTATTCTGTTTTCATTTTCTTCTGACTTGCAATAAGCAATTGTTCCACATTCTAAGACAATTGAACTTGTGATGATACACACACACACACACACACACACACACATACGATTATTTATGTGTGATCCACTTACAACTGTGATTCGGAATTGAGATATATTAAAAAACATAAACAAACACAGTGAATTGGATGATATGTCAAAAAAAAGAAAAGATTTCATGTCCAACATTTAATATGAACACATTAATCGTTTGGATTACGTGAAATTATCTTTCAACAACAACAACAACAACAACGGTGTTGTAGTATAAATAATATAATAGCGATAACGTGTGAATAATATATACGACTATTATAACAAGTCAAGAAAAAAAATGGGCAAATTTTTCATCTCATCATGATGAAAATCACCATGAGTATCATCATCGTCATCGTCATCATGATCATCAAAATGAGATTTGTTTTTTTTGTATACTGACTGAAATTTAACAAATTACAATTTAAAAATGAAATGAAAATTCAAATTTTCTTTTTTTTGTTTTCTGTTCATGTGTTTCAAATGTTTTTTTTTACTAACCTTAGAATGTAGACTAAAACAAATACTAGGCTCAGTAATAATGTTGTACGAGCGGCCATCAATTCACCTATGTTTATTGTTAATTTGTAATAATCGATTAGTTTATAATTTAATTTTTTATTTTCATTTAAACATAATAATAAATCATCACATACTCATTAAAACGTCGACATCTTCTTTTAAATAACTAATGATTGATATTATATTAGCCAATTCGATTACATCATGATTACTTGCTGAAGCCAATTCTTGTATAGGTTCAACATCATCATCATTATCATTATCATCATCATCATTCGGATGATGATGAATAATTTCCTTTTGAACTGGTGATAATCGATGCTGTTGATGACTGGTAATATGTTGAGTTTTTAAGTGTCGATTATTATGATGTGAATTTTGTTGATGATCAATAGATTCATCAACAATAGATGTGGATGATTTTTGTTGATTATTTTGTGGTTTGTTTGTTGGTTGTTGTTGTTGTTGTTGTTGATGATGATGATGATGATGATGATGATGGCGACTAGTTAATTTTTGATCATTTTCTGATGGTTGAGATTTTCTTTTGGCAACAATTGGTGATGAAATTGGCCGTAATCGATAATTGGTAAATGGTGATAGATCATTGAATAGATCATCTTTATTTGGATCGAAATTTTTTTCATCAAAAATATCATTAGAATAATTGTCTTTAGTATTGATGATGGTTTTCGTTGTGGTATTATTGATTGTGGCATTTAATACCAGTGAATAAAGATTATGGCTGTTATCATCATAGTCATTATTATTATCGTGATGACCATCTAATGGTTGATGATGATGGTTATCCATTCTTCGTTTCGATGGTTCTGCATTACCATCACCACTTCCAATAACAGCAGCAGCAGATGATGATGATGTTAATAACTGATGATTGACTGCTTGCTGTGATAGCCATTCATTGGATATATAATGTAGATAATTGATTTCACGATCAACATCATGTAGTTTACAGATGAGCAACAATAATACCAGAAAAGATATTCCCTAAATGATAAATAGAAATCAATAATCAAAATGATATAAAAAAAGTGAAGAAAAAAATCAAAATGTGGAAAAAATGACAACGTCCAATGTATACAACACCAAAAATGGTAGTTTTTTGACCAAAGAAATAATAACAAAAAAAATCTCTCGGAAAAAATGATTATGATGATTTTTTTCTTGACAAGAAAAAATTTTATTTTTCCTGTTCTATGAATCGAATCCTATTAGAAGAGTAACCCTATCTAGATATCTGATCTAATTCATTCAATATATATAATTGATTATGATCCAAAAAAGGTCGAATGAATTTTCAACAACAACAACAATAACAACAAGTAGGCGCTGTATATTACGTGTTTATGTGTGGGCATAAAATTACAATCTCATATATTGGTCGGTTTTATGGTTGATTTTTTTTCAGATTGATCAATTGATTTCTATGCTGAGCGATGATTTTTTTTCAGTGATGTTGATGATGATGAGATTGTTCAGAAATCAAATCGTTCAATCTTTCATTTGATCTTATCATCATCATCTTCGTATTCACATTCATAGATATTGAGAGAGAGGGAAAAAAAGAAAAAAACTTGGTCAGATATACGCTATTGTCTATGGACAGCAACATTTGGTTTATTTATTTGTACGAAAAAAAAGTCAACGGCCCAAAAATTATCTATTCATTCATTCATTCACACATTTTCGACATTGTAACATCGTTTTTTTTTGTCTTTTATTTATGAAAATACAACTACTACCGCTATCAGATTGTAATTAATTTCAAATTTATTTTTTCTCTACACATTCAACTGCAATTTGTGATAAACATCAAAAAGTCATGATGATGATGATGATAACTAAATTAAATCTAATCTAAATGTAATCTTTTTATGCAATACAATTTTTGTCACCACATATATTTATAAAGATCAGGAAGAACAAAAAAAAAAAATGTGGTCGTTTGTGTTTGTGATGATGATGATGATGATGATCGCCGGTCATAGCCATCGAATGTTTTGGGACTATTCATCAAATATATTTACGAAATGAACTTGCAAGTAACAGTTATATTTGTATGCATACATACAACATTTTCAAATATTAATTTTTTTTCCATCTCCATCATCAATTTATTCATAAATCTATGATAATGATGATTATGATGATGGTGATCAAAGATTTAAACAGGTCAACAACGGACAAAACAAACATACAAATGAATGAGTGAATTGAATGAATGAATGAATAAACAAACAAACCCCATTTGTAGATAGGTAGAAACAATCCATTGGTCATGAATGTCATTTTTTTGTTGATTAGAATGGAAAAAAAATTCAACAAAGAACTGTTGGATAAAATTCTTTTTTTTTTACTCATTCATCTGTATTTGTTTTCCCTTCAAAAAGGGTTGATTGAAAATCCACTCAAGTCTTTTTTTTTGAATAAAAAATCCATAAAAATATCCTATAAGATTTACATAGTTTAAGTTATGCAAGTTACAAATTACTAGTAATCCACATTTCACACGTTAGTAGCATACACACGGTTTTTCTTAAGCTGTGACCTGAACAAATGATCATTTAGCAATATCGGCAATATTTGATAGCGCCCTGTCAAAGATATGATCCAATAGTATGAAAAAGAAGAAGAAAATCTATCGATCAATGGATTGAATTGAATTGAATTGAAAACAAACGATCATTGGCAACAAACAAGAAAGAAAAAAAAGCCGTTATGGTCAATTGAAAAAAAATATACAGAAATTCAATGACAAAAAAATCAAGATAAACATAAACACGAACATAAAAAATCCATGTATTAGATTTATATCATCATCGTCAATCCTTAGAGAGAGAGAGAAAAAAAAAAGGCAACAAAATGATTGATAAAATTGATACCTATTGCTATTGGGTCAGTAACAACAACAACAACAAAAACAGAAACAAAATTATTAGAAACTAATGTTTTGTGGAATCATATTCATGTCATGTGGATTCAGTCATATTATCAACAAAATATACACGAATATACATGATTTTCATCTTTATATTTCTATTTCTATTCATCAAATAAACTAAAGATGTAAACATGTTATCAAATACGAAAAAAAAATTGAAAATCTTTCCCTTTTGAAAATTCTATCAATGATATCATCTTGTGGATTATTATTGCTTCAAGCATCGATCAAACAAAATACAAAATCAATGTTTGTTGTATATTACAATCGAACAATTTTATTTTCATTTCATTTCATTTTTTTTTTTTTTTTTTGATTGGAAAGCCACAAATCACAATAACAACAACGAAATCAAATTTAAATTTAATAATTTCATCAATATTGTTTTGTTAGACAGACAAAAAAAATACACCGGGTATTGGAAATTGAATTCAAAACCAATTCAATTGGCAAACAAATGATGATGATGATGATGAAAAAATTGTAAATAGATAATGCTGCGATATGTATGTGTAGGTAATCAATTCATAATCAAAAAAAAAAAAAAAAAAAAAAAAAAATGCAAATTGTTTGTATGAAAACATGAAAAACTACACAAATCAAATAAATGTATGTGATGGATCAAAAAGAAAAAGCGATTAAGATCAAAACAAATGGTGGATCTAAGTGAAAATTGTCAGATATTTTTGTTTTGTTTTGTTTTATTGCAAATCCATCATTCGAAAGAATGGCGCACACACACACAAATACACATCTGCTTATTATTTTCATTTATTTATATTTGATTATAAACAGATACAAATAAAGCCAATGTTCATCAAAAGATGAAAGATGACCAGATAGACAAAAGACGAACCAAATCGATAGATCGATCGATTGACCCTAAACTTTTAATAATATTGTGTGTGTGTGTGTGTATGGTTGATTGTTTTAACGATGCCATTATTAAAAGAATTTTTTTGTTTTGTTTTGTTTCGTGTGTCTTTGCATTCATTGCATTCCATTTGATCAATTCGTTTCGATAATTTAAATTTGAATAAAAAAAAATAAATAACAAAAACAAGATTGGCTAGATGGATGACCGACCCGAATTATTATGATGATGATGATGATGAGATTTTCGATCGACCGACCTGTGTAGATTATTTAATTTCATTATTGTTATTTTTATATTTTAGAAAATGTGAAAAAAAATATTTTAATCACGCTTTTTAAAAGGAGATTTAAAAGGAAAAACCCTTCATGCAAAATACAAAAGCATTTTTTCTTTTGTTTCGTTTGTTTGTTTCATCATGTCCAACATTATTATTATTATTTAATAATTACTAAGAATGACATTTTTTTTCTCCAAAACGAACCAAAAAGATATGTGTCATCATCATCATCTTCATCATCAAGTTGGTGATGTTTTACTCAACATAGTAGTCATTGATGGAGGGACAAAGAGATGTTGTTTCTCAATGTATATCAATGAGATATGATGACAAATGATAATTGTCCATTATCATCATCATTATTAAAAAAAACCGAAATGAAATTGAATCATCCAAGCACGTAAACCAAACTACAAACAACAATAATAATAATTATATAATTCGTTTAATTTAAGAACAACAAAAAAAAAGAAATGACGGAATTCCTGTTTTAAAAAATGAATGAATCTAAATTTAAACAGATAATAAATGAAAATTGTTTAAAAAAAGTGAAAATTTTCCCTTCTTCCTTTCATAGATAATCGTATCATCACGTTAATTTTAAACAATCATCTTTATCAATGAATTTTTTTTTTCAATTTCATATTCTATGCAGGTTAAATTGGAAAAAAACTCAATAATTCATTGACCGAGCTTTTCTTTTCTCTGTGTGTTCAATCGTGTTGAATCGAGTTGATCGGGTCCTCTTTTTTTCACTTTATATTGAAAAGCTGATAAATGATGATATGCTGACAAACCAAATTTTCTGTGACGAATAAATTACCCCTACAAAATCAAATATTGAACTTATGAAATCCAAAAAAAAAAAATTTACAAATATCAATGACAGGATAGAATTATTATTATGATAATATATCAGGTCAAAAGTATAAAAAAAAAGTTCGTTTCACATCTTGATCTTGTGATTAGAACAAGCTACTTGATTTCTATTATCTTTTTTTTTCTTTTTGAAAACGAAAAAAAAAGATTGATTGATGAAAAACTCGAAATGACGTTTATTTTTGTTTTTCATTATCAAAAAAAGAAATGAAATGAAATGAAAAAAATTCAAATCGAAATCGAAATGTCAAATTATCATCAAGTGCAGTTGTCAAAAAAAAATTGTAGAACGAAATATTGTTTGTGTGATGGACACATATATTATATATATTATTTATATACGACAATAATTTACATACAATTGACGCCGTTTTCCATGATTGTAATCGATTACCGAGCTGCTGTAATTTGACACTTGAATTAAATGTTGTAAATGATGATTGCAATGGTAATGATGATGATGATGACAAACAATATGGATAGGATGTTGAATAATATCTAGGATAATTATGTGTTGGATGTAATTTTAGATAAGAATTCGATGACTGCTGTGGTGGCGGTCGACCAGAACGATATGGAGAATAATTCGGATTGGCTATACTATAAATAGGTCTTCTATATGATGATGATGATGGCCTATGATGTGATGGGAGTGTTGGTGGCGGTGGTGGTGGTGGTCCATTTGGATTTTTTGATGTTGATCGTCGATTCATAGACGATGGTGATGAGGTATTTGATGGACAATTATTTGTACCGTTATTTTGAGGATATTGTAAATGGTTATGATTACCAGCACCACCACTGTTGTTATTTAATGGATTTGGCATTGATGATGGACAATAATAGCTTGCAAATGAATGATATGGTGCACTACTACCACCACCACCACCACCACCGATAGGTTTATTATTGGAAAATAGATAATTCAAATATGGATATGAATTTTTATCCATAATCATTGATTTTGGTCGTAATTTTTTAAACATTTAGACACTAATCAAATCATCATTGAATAAAAGCCATTACAGATTTTTATCTGACCAGAAATAATTTTCATCACTATGATGATTGTCACATTGTAAATTGTCTCGATATTTTCAACGGACAAAACGCATAATAGAAATACACAGAACAAAAGCCACAAAAACAAAATTATATCATATTCACTAATTATTAAACAATCGATTTGAACTACTGAATCGTGTAGTCATAAAGGAATCTTTTTTTTTTTGTTGATGAATTGAAACTTTTTCTATTGTTGTTCTACTGTTTACAAACAAAACACAATTAAAAAATCAATGTATATGTGATTCAACAGAAAGCAAACAACAACAACAACAACCGCCGCTTTCGCCGACAACAGGTCTTGTTGTTGTTTCATGTCTAATGTTTATTTCATTTATTGAATACGAACAAAAAAGATCTGGACTGAAATCATCATCATCATCAGCAACAGAAATGAAAAAAAAGAGTCATGAAAAAAAAGAGAATTCTTGGATTGGCAAAAAAGAGAGAGAGATATACGGATGATAGTGTAGCGCAGCCAATACAAGTTTCAAGCTTTCAAATACAACCAATCGGTAGTATAGTGTTGCAGAAAAAAAATTCACATTTTGAAATATTCGATCAAGATATATTTTTTTTTGTTTTGTTTTTTTTGGTGTTAATGATTGTTGCTACTACTAGACTGTTGTGGTCAATAAATGAAATGTTCATTTTCAACCATAATGATTGTTTTTTTTTTGTTACAAATGATGCGGTAATATCCAGGTTTAATTAAGAAACCATTCATTCATTCATTCATTCATTCAATCATTCATCATTACTTATTTGATGTTTGGGTCCAATTAATGTATTTTTCTTATTGAACAGTGAAAACACCGGTAGCTAAACAAAAATACCAAAAATAACAAAAAAAAAAAACACTAATGGGTTCTCTCCAATACGCCAATCTAAATTATATAATTGGACTATTGAAAATCAAAAAAAACGAATCGATTCATTATATTGTGATCAATCGATCAATTTTTGTGATGCTAAATTTCTACAGAAATTTGACCACAATTAATCGGTTACTGGTTCAAGTATTTTTTTTTTTGTTAACGGGAAACACTTTTTGATTAAATAAATTATCCACTTTTTAGTCAATGGAATCCAATTATTATTAGATTTGTTATTTTGTTGTTGTTGTTGTTGTTGTTCATTTAAACTGTTTATTTTAGAAACTGTTCACTTCTATTTCTTACCTCATATTTTATGATGATGAAATATTTTAGTTTTGTTTTGTTTTTTCAATCTATACATCATTAACATTTCTTTTTATTTAGTTGTTTTTAATGAAATAAATAAGTGTCTAATTAATTAGTCAAACACATAGTATTCGGTAATCATTCAAGCAGCCATTAAAAGAATATTTATTTTGTTCATATCAATTCATCAGTGGATAGAAAAACAAAAAAAAAAAAAAGCAAGGGCATGAAAACTGAATATAAATATTTGTGTGTGCATGTGATATGTGTGAATAACGAGTGGGCACACAGGTGTTGACAGATTGCAAACAAAAAAAAAATTTTCATCTTCAACAACAAAACATTAATTCAAATGAACTTGTTTAATATGCAATGAGAATTGAAGCAGAAATTTTTTTTTTTGAAATATTCAAGAATAAATTTAAAATGGTGGACCGAATTCAAACCTTGACTTCAAAAAAAAAAACAACAAATATTCAGTAGTACAATTTCAGTGTATATAAAAAAAAGTGAAAATTCATACTGAACATTTTTTTTCTGGCTAAATAGATTGCCAAAAAGTAAATTTCTGGTTAATGAATCAATAAAGTTATAATGATAATTGAACCGTTGAACTGGAACTGGCACACACACACACACACACAGACATTAATTTGTTTAAACCAACATTGTAATGATAAAAACAGAACAGGTTGTGTATTATACATGTTGCACATATACTAAGTATAGAAATTTCACTTTCATTCATTCATTCATTCATGATCCATAATAAATTGTTAAGGGAGAAGAAGAAAGAGAGAAAGATAGAAATGATGAGCGTTCAAGTTCTAATTGAAAAAGACAAACAGAAAAAAAACAAGTCGATCCCGTTATATTATAGTATGTGATAATAATATAATATTAAAAAAATAAAAAAAACAACGTACGTTATGCTTGAGAGATGGTTATGAAATGTGAATCTTTTTCTTTTTCTTTCTGATTAAAATTGAACATTGAATTGAGAGAGTTGAACAAGTTATTGACTCTTCTTCGTCAACGTAGTCGTTGTTGTCATTATTTTTTTTTCTCACATATCATATATATTCATTCATAATGTTGGTCCAAAATCATGAAAAACAATCCGAATCATAGTTATTTGAAGCAAAAAAAAAGAAAAAAGATACACACACACACACACAAAACAAACAAGTGCACATTCCTTACCATTTTTATATGTAAAATAACTTGCCATTGGTATTGCCATCATCATCAAATATAACGGACATTCGATGATGATGATAATGATGAAAATCAAAACCATCGAACATTTTTTTTTTTTTTGTAAATAATATTGTCCGAAATGAACGGAGAGAAAAAAAAACTCGAAAACTTTCCCATTGGAATAATTTTCTTGTTTTATTTTTTCATTGGTTAGCCAAAATTATCAAAAATGCGTAAATTTATTTAAAAAAATTTTCGTTGAGAGAAATTACAAACACAATGAAAATGAGCACGGTTGTGAGGAAAAAAAATAAATTAGAAATTACATAACCAATATACCGGATATCAAATGATAAAAAAACGGTTTCGAATTGATAAAATCAAAAAAAAAAAAAAAAAAATCTGAAACAATTCTTTTGGTTGATTTTTTTATTTGAAATTGAAATTCATTTCCGAATCACATTCTCGATTATCGATTATCAATATGATAATATAAATAAACAAAATCAAACAGAAAAGTAAAACAAAACAAAAAATGAAAGGAAATTTAAAACATAAATTAATGATGAACAATGATCGATTGATAATATTGTCTGACCGATATAATGTATATCGATAAAAAATACACAGAGAAATAATCAGCTGGAACACATGTGGAAAGCCAAAAAAAAAAAAAACCCAAACTGAAAAATGATAACATCGAATGAATATAAAAAAAAAAATCATGGGATGGAAAGTAATACAAACAAACAAAAAAAAATAAATTACGATCATATCAATCAGGATGAGAAAAACGGGAAACAAGCAGAAAAAAACAGAAAAATTGTCACAAAAAAAAATTATAATGTGAATCCTCGACAAAAAAAACAGAGCAATAGGTTAACGAAGAAACAAAAAAATGGTCAACATTTTTTTTTGTTAAAAATTTTTATATTGAGATGACAAACAAAAGGTAATAATCATCATCATCATGATCCATTAAAAAAAATACTAGCTGATTAGCCTTGACAATGGAAATATTTGTGTGTGTGTGTGTGATTACGATTTCAATGGATTATATTTATTTTTTTTTTGTTCGTTCTCATGATAATAATGTGGTGGATACAGGAGAAAAAAAAGCGAAATTTAGATTTAAAATTGCCACTCAGCAAAAAAAAGCATCTTTATTCATTCATTCATTCATTCAGAAAAAAAATAAACCAAATGCAATCGAGTTAATCGTGAGTATAGTGTTTGTATATGTGTTGATTATATATATGATGACTGAAACATCAATGATGAAATGTGTATATGTCAGTGTGTAACCGTAAACCAAAAGCGTGACTGAATGATGACTATTATATATATTTATTATTATATCGATTAAATCACTTGTAGATCCATGATAATAACAATAACAATAATAATTCCGGTATATATCGGTTGTGTATTGATAATAATTAACAAAACACAAGTTTAGAAGAAGAGAAGAAGAAAAAAAAAATTAACCCAATTTTCACGGTTAAATAAAATTCGTGATCCATTCATTCATTCATTCATTCAAATATTGGACACACACAAACATCTGTTTGATTGATCCGATATCGATCGTCATATTGTACCATTATTCAAAAAAAAAAAAAAATTCTATTAATAGATTATTCACATCTAGCCTGGTATTTATTACAACAAAAAAAAAAATCAAAATCAAAAATTCATTTCATCATCGTCATTGCTTTCTTTTGTTTTTTTTTTTTTTTTGTTTGAATCAATGACAATGCAATGCCACCATTATCATCTTTTTTTGTTCATGATCCAATTCATTTATTCATTCGACCACACATATTTTCATTTCAATCTTGTATCATCATCATCATCATCATCATCATCATCATAGCATCAATATGATTATGCATTTCTTTTGTTTTAATGATAATATACATATAGATAGCCCATTTCATTCATTCATTCATTCATTCACAAAAGAAACGAATTCATCATATATTATTTGATTGAATTAATCATAACATCATGTAAACGTATCTATCTATTTTTTTTTGTTCTCTCAAAATGAATAAAATGAACATAATGTTTTGAAAATTCATTCATTTCGCTTGTTGTCAGGGTGATATTTTTGGCAGATTTTTTTTTTTTTTTTTTTTTAACCAAAACAAAAAAAATTCATTCAAATCATCAAATCATCATGTGAAACAGTGTCGCCATCTAATGTCAAGCATTTGTGGGTTTCAAAAAAATAAATTCAAAAATAATAGACAAACCAAAACAAAACAAAACAAAAAACTTACCGCCGCATAACGACAATGTTCAGATATTTGTCGTTTGTTATTATAATTTTCCAATACACCTAATCGTCGACTTAATCGAAATGAATGTGACATTT